GCTCCAGAAATCCCTTTAAAAAAAAATAGGCTTTTGGAAAATTGATCCACTTAAAACATCTGGCCTCTTGCGTCATATTAATTCTCTGAAGTAATTGACTGGTTTTGAATAAAGATAAAACCACATGATCTCATAATTTTACAGAACTTCCTTTAACCGCTAAGATGGAGACCTGGTTTTGGATTCTTGGCTGGGTTCTTTCATTTCTGACCATCATTGGAAATGGATTCACAATCTTCCTCGTTTGCATCAGACGAAATCTACGCACCAAAACCAACGCGTTTATTGTTTTACTCGCCGTGGCGGATTTCTGTGTTGGTTTGAGCATTATTCCTTCTCTGTTTTTCTGCGAAATTACAAACACCTGCTACTGGCCTCAAAGCTGGATGTCTTGGGTGTTTTTCACACGGTTGCTAGTTAGTAACACGTCTGCTGTAAACCTATGCGGCTTAGTACTGGATCGTTTTATTGCCATTGTCCATTCTCTAAAATACATTTCTTTTATGACTCGCCGTCGAATTTTCCGTATCATTTTCTTCTCTTGGGTTCTAGTAGTTAGCTATAATATCCTTCAGTTTCTAACTTTGATTATTTGCAAAACAGCTATTCTCATTTTCCTTTGGCTTCATCTAATTTTCTTCGAATTCCTTCCATGCGTTGTATTAATATCCTGCTTTGTATCAGTGATATTTCACGTACGCAGGCATGATCGGTCAGCACGCACCTTAGCAAAACAGTTACGTTTTAACCATCAGATGTCGTTTAAAATCCATCACGAAAAGTTTGCAGTAGTATTGATGGGTATTGTGATAGGAGTGTTTCTTGTTTGCTACGGAATACATTTACGTTGTAGTCTAGTAGTGTTATTCGACTCTAATGCATCATGTAAAGATGAACAATACAAAATTCCTTTCTTGGTTTTAAACTCGGCTAAACCCACTATCCTATACCTTTTTCAAAAGTGACATTAAGAAAGAGTTTAGAAAACTTATTGGCCATGGTTTTTTTAAGAAAAAGGACCATGAATTACGGGTTGTGGCGAGACTCGACAGTTTTGGTGCTGGCAAAGATGTGGCTGTTGGACTCAAATCGAGTTGGAACTTGGAAATATTGATGTCTGAGCAGGAAAAAAGGAAGAACCAAAGGACACATGAGAATACATAAATTATACACATGGAAAGAAAGAATCCCGCAGAGAGGCCTGGGCAGTAATGCTGCAGCAGGAAGTTAATTTGTTCAACTCCTATTTTATTGGTCAGTTCTGTCCAAGATGGCAGGGTAGTCAATTCCTTTTTCATAAAAGCTATCAAAATTGGATTGCGGTTTTTTAGATCATCGAAACTTTAAGTGAATTGTGTTTATCATTCATGAATAAAAATTCATGAATGAATGCCAGTCCAGATGTTTTTGGAAATGATTTTGCATATTTGCTATTGATAAGAGAACCTTAAGCTGTTGAGATAGAGGCTGAATTAGTCGCATAATTTTATACGGTGGATGTTCAGTTGCATCTCCGTTGTAAACTTCACGGCTTAGTGCGGGATCGTTACAAGTCGCCATCGCAAATCCTCTAGAAAATCAGCCAGCGCATCATCTAACAAAAGCTTCTTTCTCTACAGTCTCTTGTGTTCTATAACAGTTGGTTTTATTGTGCTTCAGTTTTCATTTCGGGTTAATCTAAAAACCAATCTTGTCATTTTCCGCAAATATATATACATTTAGTACAAATACTGGCTAACGCAAAGCTATAACGAACTGACATCGTACTTAGCAATGACCATGTTGTATATACACCACAAAACCAACACCATCATTCACTCTTGTTTATTATTTTGTACATCGTTACATGCACGTTCCTGGCTGGATTACTTCATATAAATATGACATAAATTATTTGACATTTTTTAAAATGTTAACGTTCTCTACTAGAACAGAAAACTAATTAAAATTTTATTAACACTTTAAAAGTATTATGATTCTTGAAGAATTGGAATGGTGGGAAATTTCTTTGTGCTATAAACTGAGGGACCGGTCATTATTTATCGCCTGGGGGAGGATTTTGGGGGATCACTTGATTTTTAGAAGAACAAAAGGGGGGATCAGTCGTAACTGCAGAACCCAAAAGGGGGGATCACTGAAAACTTTGGAAGGATGCAGTGGGAGGGACAATCAAATTAGCTTTGAAAATGAAGACATGGGGGGGATCGCGAAAGTCATCAAATGTTGTTAGGGGGGGGTCACTTCAGTGAAGTAACATTCAAAGAGGGGATGAGCTAAATTTCTCCTTGTTTAGCCTCAAATCCTCCCCCCGCCCCGGCGATAAATAATGACCGGTCTCTAATGTTGGTTCCTTAGGATTTTCTCCTCGGTTTCGCTTGATTGAGTGATTGGAAGGAAGGTTAATACGTTTCTCCACACCTTAAAATCTTATCAGGTAAAACTTTTTAGTTGACAGCAAGTCACGCAGTCTTGCCTACATCTTTAGTATACAGTCAAACCCGCATATGTTGTGCACACTAGTGTTTCTTTGTGGTTCAGTCTTGAAAAAGTGACCCTTGATAACTCATTGGGGTCAGTTCTTTAGTGTTTTAGGGAAATGCTTTTCGGGGCTTAAGAAAGTGACCGCTTAATAGCGGGAGACTGCATGCTTTATGCAGGTTCCGGCTTATTACAGGTTTGACTGTGAATTAACGACTCTCGAGCTCGCGTCTAATCTTATCGGTCTGGGAAGGATATTGCAGGCTAGACTTAAGAGAACCGGCACCTGAATGATTTAGTAGTACTGCGCTATTGTGTTCCTTCAACATTTGACGCAGTTTCAAATATTATGCAACTTTTTAGAAGTGTCACGCAAATCCCTTTTGCTCCTGTTCCTATCTCTACTCTGGTGTCCCTGGCAACTGCAGACGATTCGCCCTGTTGTCTCGCCCGTGTACTGTCTCTATCGACGCTCGGGGTGGGGGTAAGTCTTGTACTCTGTGTTGCGAATCACTAAACCTTGATTGCGTGTTGCGGTTGGCGTAATAGGACTGGGGCCCATTTCTACTATCGCGCATGTCCTGTATCCACATGCGTTCACCAGTTGTTTTGTTAAAGGCGTATAATTTTCCGGAAACTATGAAGGAAAGATAATGAAAAACATTAAAACTACCTTCAGCTATAAGTGTCGAACAAACGATACGCCCGCACAAATTGAAACGAACCAATTAAAACTCGAAGAAATAAGCGCCGCTCGTTTTGTTTTGGGCTTTTTATTCGGGATTAGTTGGGAAGGTGGTATAAAATTTTTCAGCCAATTAATAAGCGTAAAAGGAAGCAATTGCCATGTATTTCCAAGGCAATGTCCGCCGGGTAATCCTTTTATCTGTGAATCTTATTCTTAAATAATGCCAACCAAGTTTATTGCAGTTACCTGGGTCAACAGCTTTGCCGTCAAACCTTTTTCCACCTGGAGGAGCCTAAGGAAAAAAATTTGTTTAAAGAAGCAGTAGAGACGAGGAGTGAAAAAAAAAAGCGGAAAACACCTAAAGTTTATCAATACAACTAGTAAATAAACAGGTTGTTTGAGTAATAATAGCGAGCTTAGGCAACAACGACGGCGACGGCCACGAATACGTCACTCAAAAAGTGAAGTCTCGCTGCTTCAAACTTTATCGCGCTTATTCCATCTCGTTCATTTCGTCAAATGTTGGCAAATATTTCTGGAGTTGAATTCTAAAATACTGCATCAAAGTTCTGGAAAAGAAAAAGAAAGTCGTTGTCTTGTGTTCACGTCCTCCGAAAAACGTAAAATTAGGCATTTTCACGTCGTAGTCGTGCAGTGACGGCAAAGAAAAAAAAAGCGTGATGCAGGTGCAAAGTTGTTGTTTTGCCAATCTAAACCAATTGCTTTTTTGCCATTCTCGTTGACGGCGACGTCGTCGTTGCTTAAGCTCCCGGATCATTATACGTTTCTGGGTAACTGACCACCTACCCATCCCCTAAATCAACATTTTGCCCTCAGTGCAGAGAAGTAAGAGTTGATGTTGGTTTGGGGAAGGGGTAGGAGGTCACTTACCCAGATCTACCCAGACACGTAAAATGATTCAAGCTCCCTAATATAGAGACTGAGAGAGGGCATGTCCAGTTATATAATTAAATCCATACCCTTGAATTATCGTTTTCTTACTCACCCTCCCCTCCCCTCCCCCAAAGGGGCTACAACAGAAAACTACTTACAATTTGATTGTCGATCATTATAGGTGATATCATCTTATGTTGTTTGATTTTTCCTTGGGAGAAAAAGGAAAAAATAGAGTTAAGAGCTTATACTTTGAAATTATCGATAAACCCACGAGTAAGACAAACCTTTGTAGAAACCCTTCTCTCCATTCACCAAGCCTCTGTTTGGTCTCAGATGAGGCTCGCGAGATTCTAACATGCGAACTCTGCAAGAAAACGCCGGGCAAAAATATCAAAATGTTTGGCAGCCGCGCGTAGTATTAATACATGCTACTTATTAACCGTAAGTGAGATCATTACAGGGTAATCTCAGTCCGAGGCCTTGATGTATTGATCGAGCGATAGCGATAACATAAATAACAAAAGTAGGTTGAGTTTGATCGTTCGGGTTGAGTTTGATCAACCTACTTTTGCAATGACTCCTGGGTTCAAACCTTTCACAGTTATAAATAACAAAGTTAAAAAAATATATAGATGTATAAAACAAACTAAGACGTAATTATACCTCTAGCTCTACTCAATGAAAACATCAGCTACGTTTTTTGGGGGTGATTGGTAATGTTTTGCATTTTGTCTTTTCCTGATACTTGCTTGAAGATTGGTATTTCTAGCTAAGATAGCTAATTTTCTCTTTCAAGAAGAGCAACTTCCTTAAAAATGTTTTTACACCAGTCTATGGTTATTCAAAATGCCGAAAAACGAAGAGAATCGTGGGAAACAGTAGCCTAAAGTTAAGAGAATCACAAGCATAACGGCCATATTCTTATAAATTCGTATAAAATCTTCAGTAACCCCGTAGGGAAGCTACCGTCCACTGATATCGGGCAGTTTATGGTATAATGTCAAGGTGTCTTCATCTCATACCTCTTCTTTGCATGTTTTCTCCATAGTAAAACAGTAACAACCGCTAACAGCACTACTACACAAGCAGACGCCATGGTAATTATTCCCTCAGTTGTCTTGTAAAATGGAGTGGGTGGGGGGGTGGTGGGAATCTCAGGCACAGCTGGCTTGGCTGAGCGAATATTAAATACCTAAAAACAGAACAACAACAAAAAAAACGTGAAAAGCCATTTGGTTATAGACCATTTTTTACATGACTATATATTTGCCATCTTGGTGTCCCGAGCCAATCCTGCAGGAGTTGAGCTTTTTATGTAAAAAAAAAACGAAAAAAACTTTCTATTGTTCCAATATACATGCCCAGTAGCTGCTGGCCGGGTGAGTGAAAACACCCTATACGAAAAGTTTTTGAGTTAGGCTTTTGTACATTATACTCGCGTTGTTTTGAGCATTTTAGTGAGACAAAAAGGATCAAGCATTATTCGGAGCATTTTAGTGAATTTTTTTCAGAAAATAATATATTTTTTTAGAAAAAAAGAAAATTTAAAAAAAGAGAGAAATTAAACACGAAATCTCGTAAATCAAAACAAAACTCAAATGTCACCTAAAACATTAACTCAATAATAACGTTAACCTCTATACGTTATGTTGTTGTACTGCATGGAGCATTTACGGTGGAGTGTTTTAGTGGGAAAACAAAAGCATAATGTACAAAAGCCTAGTTTGATTCATGGCTGAGATGATTGGTACCTTTCTAATTGGCTGACAAATCTAGACAGTGCGGGCATTTTTGGCCATTTGGAACAAAAATAAAACAAATCGTGACATGCTTTCACCAGTTTTCTCGCGCCTGGCGTACATGACATGTATTGGCTTCGATCTTCAGTTGATCATTCTGCGTTGACCGCGCTTTTGATTTTACGCGTAAACAAAACCCGCGCTAAGCATTACATCCTACCTCCAACTCTTTGTTATTTGTCAAGTTCGGACTAAGATTTCCGTCATCGTCTAAGAGAGCGTCTAATATCTCGTCTTTTGTCAGATACTCTTTTGCTCTAGACAACTTTTCGTTTAAATCTGTGTTGTTACCAGATGGATTTTTTACCGCATAAATGGTGACCACAATGCTGAAAAGAATATAATTATCATTAGCGAGGAAGTCGGTTGTTTGTCCTATAAAATAGTTTTATTCAATCACCAAACAAATACTATCAAAACCTCAGAGAAAAAATAATACCCTAATGATACCTCCTAAATAATTCCACCAACCTATGGAAAGTAATTCTGAATTCCAAAATCCGAGAACTTTTTCTCCCGTGGAACCCAGAATCTGGCATTGGAATCTGGAATTCAGCCCTAGGAATTCCGGAATCCAAGTTCCACAGACAAGGAATTTGTAATCCACGGATCCACGACTGTCTTGGATTACTATGGCTGATTTTGCAGAAAATGCTACAGCGGTTATGTTGGTTGACAAGAACAAGAGGGTTTCCCTCCACTGGGCCTCAACAAAAAAATTCAAACATATTTTCTTATTAATAGAGAGGAGAAGTCGTCACGTCACATTGCCATGGTAGCAAAAGTTTTGGATGACAACAAACCGAAAAAGTCACTTACAGCAAGGAGCCCAAAAGCGTGAACGCATTTATAATTATTTTATTCACTTCGTGCAGATTTATTCCAATCAGAAGCCAGCTAGAAACTGTCCTCCACTTCTGATTGGTTAATGTCTGCATGAAAGAATGTGAACTAATTCAAGGAGGTCACACTTTTAGGCTCCTTGGTAAAAGTTTATTGGCACTATTTCAAACTTCGCCGACCTCATTCAATTTCATTCAATTTGGCAAATCTTGGCATAATTTTCTTTTGGACCATATCTATGGTCATCTAAGTTTAGAAAAAGAAATCGACAATTTTTTTGTTGTGTTCACCCGCTCCATAAAGCGGGCTCGTGAAATTAGGAAGTTTAATGTCACAGTGGTGCAACGACGCCAAAGAAATGTACAAAATAGCGTGATACACGTGCAAAGTTAATGTTTGTTAATAGAATCATATTATTTTTGCCGTTCTCCATTCCGTCGCCGTCGTCGTTGGTTTTGTTGTCATCCAGAAATAGTACTACCATGGTAACGTGACGTCACACTTCTCCTCTCCATTAGTTACCTTTCTTACCGTTTTTTAGTCTCTCTCTTCCTCCTCCGCGCCGCTGCCTCCCCCAGGACCGTGTAATCTGCTATACTAACATCAGCACCTAAGTATTTTGAAAGCTCCTCCTCAAACTGCTCACGTTTCGCTTCGAACTCTTCCAGGGAAATTTCTAGCTCTATTTCAACCATCACCTCGTCCGCTTCAATGGTATCAATACGTACGGAAGCCACGGTACTGGTCAGCGGTGGTGAACCTTTGTCTATAGCGAGCACGCCTAGCTCGTACGTTTTTCCTGTTCCAAGGACAACACAAGCAAATTGAACAAAAAGATAAATGAAAAACAATTCTCTAGCGCTCTAGTACATAGTTATGTTATTTTATCATTATGTAATAGTAATGTTATTTTATTACTTTTTTTTTGAATAGCTTTTGAGCTACTCTGTAAATTCGAGGTAAAATAAAGTCATGTATGTATGTATGTACAAGACACAGTTGGATCTCTGAATAGAGAATTAATCAGGCAAAAAGAAAAAGTATAAATTGTTTTCCAGGAGGTAGGGTGACAAAGGTGAGGGGGAAGGTGAGGGAGGGGGGAAGGTGCCCTGTTTAACGAAGTCCTCTCTTAAGTTAGATCGGAGAGGCCTTTAGAACACCATGTAGAAATTTTAAAAGTGTAAAAAGAGAGGTGAACATTTTGTACAAGAGAAGAGATAATTGGGAGGTCCACTATAAGAATTCAACAAACATTTACTCTACACTTACTCAGAATTCCTGTCGTTTTTAGTAATCGGTAAAGTTCGGAAGCTGCTGTCGAAATGCAACTTCGGGAAACATCGAAAGTGTTCGAAATACTGGGCGTCAACTTCCGTTTTCGATGACACCACGGGATGAATAAATTGTAAAGTAACTCAAGGTACGTAAAGAAAACAATGAACTATACTGAGTGTATTCGACAGATGAGAAGAACTTCGGCAATGTTCGGAAGTCTTCGACATACTTTGTAAGAGGAGAGAGAAGAACCTACCACTGGGTGGAGCGGCTTTGAGGCGAATTCCACCATCAGTACTACCCACGGTAAAAAAATCAGATGAATCCTGAAGCTCATAATCCACTTTTCCATTATCACCTGAGTCCACGTCTGTTGCTTTTACTGTGATGAACGGCGGGGAGTCCAAAGAGCGATCATGGCGAATGCTGGCTTCGTAGAAGTCTGAAAAAATAAAACCGTAAGGCAAAACATTTGGCCGGATTGATGACGTTTTTGTTCTCTACACGACTCTCAAACTTTGCAACTAAAAGGTTTCTTTTTTTCCAGTTCTTTATTGATACCGTAAATGACCTAATAAACGCCCACTTCCAAATAAACGTCTCTTATTTAATACACGCCCCTTCTACGCTCTTAAAATTGTATTAGACGCTTTTCTCTAATGAACGCCCCCCGTCTAATAGACGCCCCCTATGAGAACTACTCCAAAATACTAGGAATTAGCAAAAGGACCAAAATCACTCGATTAATTCAGTTTCTTTCTTGATTAACGAGGCCTTGCGTATTTCATCTTTTTCAAAATTCTGACATCGATGTTAGGATCTGAAAGAGCGATATGGATATCTAGACGTTCTAGACGTATCTATTGATGGATTGAATATTCCACTATTTCTAAACTCTCTTGACATTTTCGCTGAGAGCATACTAGTTTTGTTGAGCTCGTTACAGTTATGAGAATAAACGCCTCCTATCTATTAAACGCCCCCGCTTGGACGCCTAAAATTAATTACACGCCCCGGGCATTCATAAGGTCATTTACGGTGATTGCCATGGTAAACTGACTATATTTTTGACTGACCATGATATTGTAAAGGAGAAGACTTTTTTTTAATTCAGTGATACAAGCGACTTGGAAGAAAAAATCGACTGAACTTTCCAAACATGATTTGGACCTAAGCTACGGTTATAAGACGTTATAACAATTATTAAATAATAAATGAGAATGATTATAATTATGGTCTACGAGAATGATTGTTTGAATTTGATGAAGATTATAACTATGCTTGGTACTAAAGCGATAAAACTAACTTCTTTCAAAAACCGGAGTATTGTCGTTTACATCTTCGATAAACAAAACCAGCGTCACCGATCCACTCAGCCTGGGAATGCCGTTGTCCTGTGCCGTTATGGTGACATTAACAATTTTAACCTCCTCATAATCAAACACACTCTTTACAGACACTTCTCCTGTAACACTGTTGATGTCAAAGTACTCTATCGAGGTACTATGGGTAATGCTGTACGTCAACTCCGCATTCGCATCTCGATCCGGGTCGTCAGCGGTTACCGTGGTAACAGAAGTCCCGGATACGGTCTTTTCCCGAACGGAAGCGTTGTAAAATGGAAGGGCAAACCTACGTGAGAAAGAGAAAGGTCCGTCTTAGGATAGTTAAATGAAAAACAAAATGTGGAATTGAGTATCTTAAAGGAGCTGTGTCACGAAATTCAGCCAATTAGGAAATTACAAAATGCCCGTTAAATTAAGAGGAACATAAAAATAACCGCTTAAAACTTTAAAGGACGGTTAAAATAATATAACAGAAACAACAGATGTCACGGATGGGCAAAACTAAAGAGGACTGAAACGGATTGAAATTAGGATTTTTGAAAACTGTTCAGCCTAACGGTTTTTCAAAGTTGATCCCTGCTGCTTGCAATTTCAAAAATAATGCTCAGGAGACACATTTGTTTGTCTTGGGTCTGTGAGTCATTTACATGTAATTTCTTTGCTTCCTTTAAGTTACATAGCGATTGAGGGCGAGTAAGTGGCAAAATTAAACAAAATCAACTGGACTGCCCTGACACAGCCCCTTTAAAGCTACTGTAAGACGGGCAACAAAAGCATGGAACGTGTTTTGCAACATTTCTGCAAAACGTGTTGAAAAGCGGTGTCACGTGTTTTACCACCCATGTTCAAACCTGTCTAGTAACAACAAAGTTTGCAAGTTGCCTGGACACTGACTTTTGATTGGATAGAATTACGCGGGAGTCACGCCATACACGGGAGGTACTTCAAATAAGTTTGCCTTGGGTCGGTAAAACGTGCAACATGCACAGATTTTGTCACAAAAAGCAAAACTACTTTCCCCTTTCTTCAACAATTTTTCGCATGTAACCTATAACGACCTAATTTGTTGCGAGACAGGTTTGAATTGAAGTTGGTGGTAAAACACAGAACATCGCCTTTCAACTCGTTTGCAGCAATGTTGCAAAACAAGTTGCAATTTGCTTGATTTACCGAACCTTAAAAGACAGCCTATTCAGTTTATCACAAACCTGGGACTATTGTCGTTCTGATCCAAAACTGTTACATAAACAGTTGTGATATTCGAAAGATCCAACGGAAAGGCAGCAGAGTCTGAAACCTTAACTTTGATCCTGTAATCCTTCACAGATTCCCTGTCTAACATCACAGCCGTGTACAAGATCCCTTGAAGTGGATGTATAAAGAAATTATTGTTGTTCTCGCCAGACATGATTGAATACACCAGTTCCGCGTTTGTGCCATTGTCATTGTCCGTGGCCTGAACTCTACCAACCGACGTCCCCCCGGGCAGGTTTTCCGTGACGACAAAATTATAATCCGCGTCACTAAATTCAGGCACGTTGTCGTTGGTGTCTGCAATTTTGACGTTGACGTTTGTTGACGAGGCTCGAACGGGCGCTCCAGCATCTTCAGCCTTCACCATCAGAAAGTATTCGGGCGTGGTTTCGCGATCAAAAAGTCCTGTAATAGGAAATTACAACTTGACACTTAACTCAAACATTCATAAACTTGTAGTCAAAACTGTTTTGAGGTAGTATGACTTCTCGTTTTCCTAAGACAACTGCGGAAATGATAAATATAAGTATTTTCAATGGGTGTCAAAATATTGAGCACGAAAGTACTTATTGAGGTCACTATTTTAAGTTTCCTTTTGAAGACGGGACAACCATTTTACGGAGTCATCCGAGCCACGCGAAGTTCTAGCCCTTCGCAGGGCAAAGAAAGTACCCTCATTTCTTAGTTATTTTAAGACCTTGAGTATTGGTCCGGCCCTGGGAATCGAACCCGCGACCTCCCGCTCTGCACTCATCAGGCGCTCTACTGACTGAACTAATCCTGCCGCAGTAATTGAAAGAATAATGCTTTCTTGACGCAAAGTATTTCATCAGTTTCTGTGATACGAAATCAAAGTCCTCTGCAGAGTCTTCTCTGTAACTATAGAATATATCTTGCACTTTAACCCCTTTACAATGCAAGAATACTAGCTGCTCTTTTTGTTTTTCATCCTAGTTAATATTCATTGCGATCGCGTATACTTCATACCTATTGCAGTCATTAAACCGCACATCACTTACCCACATTATAAAGCGCTCCCGTTAATGGATCTATCGACATCACATTTCCAATATTGCCACTCAAGATAGAAAACGTTAGCAGAGCATTGTTACCAATATCGGCATCTGTTGCGGTAATGTTTAGAAATCTTGAACCAGTAGGGAGACTCTCCGACACTGTAACAACGAAAGCAGACTGGTTAAACTGCGGTGCATTGTCATTAATGTCAATAATTGTGATGTTGACTTTAACTGTTTCTGTCAGGGGAGGGGTGCCTTTGTCTGTCGCCTGGACCAGAAGTGAATAAAATGGGATGTCTTCACGGTCTAGCGTCTTGTTGGTGCTGATCATACCTGACGAGCTGACCTGCAAAAGAGATGATTGAATGAGAAGAGGGATAAGGTGGACCATCATACCTGACGAGCTGATCTGCAAAAAAGATGAATGAATGGAAAGAGGGATCAGGTGGACGTGGCCCGGTTGTTCAATCGTTGGATGGTGCTATCCACGGGATAAATCACTATCCAGCGAATATATATTTGGGAAACTGATTGCGTTATCCAGTGGCTAGCGTCATTCATCTTTCGAACAGTGGGCCCAGAGGGATCGATGGATGTAATTAGATTAAAGAATGGATTGATAACTGCACGATTAGATGATGATTAGATGGTATCGCACAGGTCTCTTATTCGTCTGAGTAGTACAGACAGACAAGATTAAGACTTTTGTTTTTGGCCAGCCTTAAAATGAACCCAGGGTATCCTGTTTGCCAAACTGGCACTGCACCAACTAAGTTACCTAGGAAGTTATTCAAGCCGTTCGTCCTAGGTAAAAGTCATCCTTCAACCTTTCATTAACTGATATGTGAATGAACATCGTACCTGAAATTGTGTTTCCGCGTCACCACCAATAATAGAAAACTCTATTTCAGCGTTCAGGCCAAGATCCACGTCATAAGCGTGTACCGGTATGACGTCACTTCCGGGAGAAATGCTCTCAGAAATGCTTGTCAAATATAAGGTCGGACTGAAAACAGGGTTGTTGTCGTTTGCATCAGAGATGAACACCCGCACTCCGCAAACAGCGGTCAGCGGTGGAACGCCGCCATCTGTGACTGTAATTGATAGATAGTAAGTGTCTTCGGTTTCTCGGTCCAAGCCTGGCTGAGCAGAAACCACTCCAGAAGAAGCATCGATGCTGAATTTATTGACCCCATCTCCACCTGCAACAGAATTAGCCAGGCGATCGATATGTGTAACAAATATACATAAAATAAGAACAACCCACTAGTGCGCTTTGGCATCTGGCTTTTGTAAGCTAATGGACTGCAGATTGGGAGCTATAACTTGTTGAATGGGAGGATTACATCTTGCTCTACAAGCAATGGGCGTCAATCCAAGAAGAAGCGGTCACGAATATATCTTGTGGCCTGATTATTTCCGTCGCCAAAAACTGTGGAGAGCTTGGTGCGAGTGAGAGATGGTGGAATTACATGTATGGGAGCATTTTCCAAAATAGTGTTGTATCCCGTTTTCTTGGAGATACATAAAGAGCGTGACAACTACATCACAGCAGACTGCTGCTGACACTTGAAAAATTCTTGTAACTGCTAGTAAAAAAATCAACAAAAAACTCAGGATCCTCGAAGACTATGTACACTGAAAGACTCATACCTGTAATGGTAAAAGTATGGTCTGCGTTGATTCCAAGATCGGCGTCGGAAGTGTTCACTTGAATGACTGAATACCCCAGGGGAACATTCTCGGGGATGGTCTTGGTGTAGATATCTTGGCTGAATATAGGAGGGTTGTCGTTCTCGTCGGAGATGTGAATGGTTAGCTGAAATGCATGTAAGAAAAACACAAAATAATAATAATAATGGTGATGATGACGAATGATGACGAGGATGATGACGATGATGATGATGATGATGATGATGATGATGATGATAGCAAATTTTTAGTATAACCGAATTTTGTATATGCTAGCAACACAATATTGTTTTCTAATACGTTTCAGGCAATCAACATATTTAACATATTTTCGGCAAATCTTGGCAAATTTATAGCCTAGCCCAGTTTTGTGCAGGTAAAAGAACTTGAACTTTATTGATATATTTAATGCATTGTAGGCAGTTTTCAACGTACATTTAGTACCTTCTTTTTAAGGTCATTCCCCTGAATTGCATTGCGCATCTGTACTGCGCATAGGATTGCATTTTTAGTCACGCAATCTTTCAAGATGGCTACCGTCGGCGTCGCGTCGGCACCAAGTCGAGAGATAAAAAGGTTTTTTTCTAAGTTCAAATGAAAAGGGAAGACGAGAGAAGTTAAAAAATATTTGGACAAAGAAGTGTTGTAATGTGGAAGGTGATGGAGGCGTCAGCACAAAAAAGAAATGCATCGAAGACGGCAGCTGCAATTTTCGAGGCAGACGAGTAATCGAGTTAGACGTGCTGGCCAGAGCCCTGGATAGTGGTTGCAGAGCGTGTGGAAAAGCACTTCAGCTATCAAACTGCCATGATGAGACTATCTCTGGGTTGGGTAGTTTTTTGTATATTAGGTGCAGCGATCCGGAATGTGGAGAGGTAAATGTGTGAACCACAAACATCGCATCGTGCCGCCGGTGCTGGTCGCGGCCGACCAATTTTTCATAAAAACACCAAACTTGCCACAGGTAGGTATATTTATTTGATTAGCAGCTTTTATCCGAACATTTTTCCGAGCTTCATCATAATTTAACAATCATATTACCGTGTAATAACTAACTTTTAAACGTACATGTACTGTGTTTATGTGCAGGAATGTTACACGCCGGTATGTAAACGCACTGCTCACGTCGATAAACCTTCCAGCCGTGGGACAAAACACTCTGAAGGCCAGAGAAAGAGAAGTTGGCGCAGCGATTGAGACTGTTGCAAGGAATTCATGTTTAGAAGGGTTACAGTTGGAGAAAGATTGTCGGAGGACCGTGGACACAGAGCAAGTTGTAAAAATCGGGGTATCGTACGACATGAGTACAAAGAAGAGGGGAAAGGGCCACAATAGTTTGACAGGTTAGTCCTATAATATGCATAAAGCTATGAAATAATGGAGGCATTTTTGCTTTGCTTGCATGGCATCCATATCAGTAACAAATGTCTGTTTATCCATTTTAAAATACAATATTTAACAAATTCACAACGATTTTTTCTTTTGCTATAATAACAATAATAACAAGATAATGAAATAGCTGCTCTAGAAGTTAAAATCAATTATTATTTTTACCCTAGACGACAAAATTTCCATCCAACAGCAGTCAGGCAATTTAACATTTGATTTCCTTTAACAATAATATTATTATTAAAACCGAATATTGGAAGCAGTGTGCTTGTTCAAATCATCCTCAAAGACAGTGAATGAGCTAAATAAAATACTAGCATTATTAATCGACAACAATCAGTCATTCATTTAATTTATAGAGGTATTGACTTTTTGACTAAAGTAAATAAAACGAGACTATTTTTGTTTCCTAGGAGAAGGGTCTATGATTGGGCTATCTTCAGGCAAGGTGGTGGGCTACAGCACAAGGACGAAGAGACGTGCAGTATGTGAGGCAGCTAAGAGAAATGGCAAGGAACCGAGGTCACATGACTGTCGGATGAACTGGACAGCTTCCACCAAGGTCCTCACAGAGAAATTTAGCGGCAGGGCAAGAATCACAATTAACAAGAGAATTCTTGAGAGCATTTCCAGTTGCTTTGCAGACAAGTAAAATGTAAATCCCTAATATGGTAATGTAAACGAGAAAACGATAAGTTATGATATTTATCTATGCTTTTGCTGAATTAATTATACAGTGTGTGATGAGAAACTTAGCTAAACTTACCTGTATAAACATGTATATTCTTAGTTGACACAGACAAAAGGTATCCGGAAGTCACCCGAATTCGGCATGCAGTATCTCCTGGTCTCTTGCACGGGTCACCAAAATTCCGAAAATAAGCCCTGGGGCTTGTATTTTTCAAAGGCCCTTTTTGAGGGGCCTATTTTCGGAGGGGCTTATGTACGGAGGGAAATTTGCGTTTCAAAATCGATTGGGCTAGCTTGTGGTGGGAAGGAAATTTACCATTTTTGCTTTGTTTTGCTTTGTATTTGAGGGCAAATTCCAAGTACAAGCTCCCCGGGGGGCTTATATTCAGAGGGGCGATTTAACAGAGGGTTTTTGCATTACGATTTTGGGGGGCTTATATTTGGAGGGGCTTATTTTCGAAATTTTACGGTATTTCATTAAGAAAGCCATGCAAGTATTATGTAACAGGCAAAATTTCTCGGAAATTATAATTAAAGTGTCATATTAAAGTGTCAGATTCAGTATTGCTTGATCTTTTTACTGTACCAAAGTAACTTTAATTTGGTTGCCATGGCAACCATTTTTAATCATTTTGTCCTCAATCGGGAGCCCAGATAAAGCATCCCTTTAACCTGTCACTTACCAACCAAAAATTAGATCTATACGAATAAGTACAGTTAAATTTACGATGTTTTTTTCCTGGAAAGAGAAATGGGCCTGCTCACCTGGGAACAGAAAATGATGGCATAGCTTCCAAGCGAATACCGGCACCCCCCTCTTTTTTTCGCTTGTTTGACTTTACAACCAATAGGCTGCCTACACAAAAAGAATGGACAATTTTCTATGTTCAGAAAAAAAGATATAAAGGAAAGTATAAAGCCAAAACCCATTTTTTCATTTAAATTATGGTAACCATGGTAACAAACTTAAGGGAAGTGCTTCCTCGACGTATGCGTTTTCGTACCAAAAGCCTTTTGAAAGTGTTACTCTTGTCCAACTCTAAATGTGTATAACCTTATTTCGCACAATCAATAGTATTCTGAGTGTTATCAGGCCTAATTATTGATATAGTCTATGGTGCAAGGCAGCAAACCGGAAGTTTCGAAAATTGCCTCAAAGGGGGTATGTTTGAGCCCTCGCAGCTCGTAAACGAATACCGGCACCCCCCTTTTTTATTTTGATTTTGAAGTCCCAGTATGATGAATAGTTAATAGACAAAATTTGAGAAAAAATCTATGTTAAGTTCCATTTCAGGGGAATGACCTTAATGGTTTTACAAGATATCTAGAATTCAAGGGGTTTTCCAGATTTTAGATAGAGTCCACAGGCTATTTTGCTATGAACCCTCTGTGACTATCATTCACTGTAGGACGTTCCGAAGTTTAAAGAATTACGATGAGTTCTTGAAGACTTTCAGTCGGTGAGAGCGCTAAGTGATCATGATAATGTAAGATTCAGTAGAAGCATTTTTTTCACCTTACATCAGTCGAGGTTTGAGCTCAGTATAAGAAAACAGTGAAATGCTCATCGAGCTGAAAACATGTTCACGAATGCGAACCTCATGGAAACAGTGCACTAAAACAGGAAACCCAAACAAGAGGCACCATCACAGGATACCTAATTATAAGCAGTTTTTCAAGGTTGCTTCCGTTCGTCATGGGATTTTGTTGTTCATAAACTCCAGCCAAAGATAAAATTCAACTGTTTTCGATGCTTGCTTCCTTGAGAATGGGATGAATCCCCTTTTTAAGCATTGCCTAGATGTGTGTCTTACGGTTCATAGCCTTCACGTTTTCCAAATTGAAAAATCAGTAACGGTACAAATCATGATTTGCATTCTACTTCACTGACCTTCATTGCAGTGGATCTTCGATGGGCCTCGTTCAGCGCCCTGTCCTTAACAGTGAGGTTCAGCACGTAAAGGTCCCTTGTTTCTCTGTCTAACTTAGCTCCCACATAAACATGTCCTGTCCGAAGATCAATCGTGAAGTCAATTCCTCCGCCCAGTCCGCCAGTGATAAAATATTCCAGCTGGCCGTGAAGACCTGTGTCTGAGTCTGTTGCATTTGCGTCAAAAATCAGAGAACCTAAAAACGTGGGTTTGAGTGAAATAGAGTCAACGTCTTAGCTGAATCTCTTGAGCGCCTACCGCCTCAATTTTCGCTGCTTGGTATTTTTTGACTCAAACTATATTTCACTGGAACTCTTAAGGTCCACTGTACATGAAAAGAGACTTAGAATTTGAACTCTTGTCAATTGAATGAGCACTTTACAGGTTTATTTTGTTTCTAATGTCTCCAATATACAATGCCATCTACACGTCCTTATTCCCTAAGAAACTTGAGAAAATAACTGTGAATCACAAAACCCCCGCTTCTTGTTAAACAAGATATGTTTGCAAAAAATCATATCAATCGTTATTTACAAAAAACAAAAATGAACTTTGAAAAACTGCTAGTTGAGCAAGTTTTCAGAAACTCCCAACTGCAATCCGTTTCAATTTTCTTCAAGTTTATCCATCCTTGTTTTCTTTTGTATTTGCTGTGTCATTTACACTTTCTTCTAACTTTTTGAGCGATTATTTTGACGTTTTACTCAAGTTGGTGGCATTTCTCACTGTTTGAATTCTTATGACACAGGGTGCAGGCTATAAGAGAGCTTCATCCACTTTTAATGGAGCCACTACCAATGCAACAACCTTATTGAGTTCTATAGAACAAGTTACAAAAAAATATTTATCAACTAACCAATAGCTGTAGCTTCAGAGATGTTGACCGTATAATTGGTATATTGGAACACGGGAGTGAATTCGTTTACAGCTTTTACATAAACCGTCACCATGACAACGGTCACTTGACTGGGAACTCCTTGATCAGTCACGTGGATTTCCAAGCCATATTCACTTCCGCTTTCGTGGTCCAGTTCTCCGTTTACAATTACTCTATTGTTTTCCATTCTGAACTTGTTCCCAGTGTTTCCGCTGACAATAGTGAACGATAAATTTCCGTTGGGTCCCAGGTCATTGTCTATGCACGTGATTGAAGTGAAATTCGTACCCACTACAAGATCTGTAAAATAGAATGACATTTTAAGAGCTCAATACAATCAAATACTCATATTAAGAGGTCAATACAATCAAAATGTAAGACTGTAGGATATATCGATGTTCCCAGAAAAGATATGCGTTGTTTCCATACAGTTCGATAGTGCTCACATCAAGGCACAAGTTTAATACGACCTTCCAATGGCACGATCTTCTCAAATGAAACAGCAAGAAAGATCGTGAGCAGTTTTCAAAGACCCCGGCTGGTGGTTTGTCCGAGTTTAAACCCGCGAAGTGCTACTCAACCAGACCCGGGAGCTTTTCGGGTGGCGGTCTGATTCCAGGCCACGGTTTTTCAAATGTGGGAAAGGGCAATCCACCGAATGTGCGCATTAGATCATACATTTGAATGCTATTTTGCGGCTAATGAATAATAAAAATATTATTATTATTATTATTATTATTATTATTATTATTATTATTATTATTATAAATCACTATCCAACGGATACGTATTTGAGAAACCAATTGTGCTATCCACAGGAGAGAGATCCATCAAGTGGATAACATTATCCACGTTTTAAACTAGCAGAACCAGAGTTTAAATTTTCAGTGACAATATTCCTCACCTTCTGATATTTCAACCGAATTTAAATTTGATGAGCACTCAGGCTGGTTGTCATTTACGTCTACAACTGAAATGTACACGGTCACGTTGGAATATCTTACATCCGGGGAACCAGCTGCGCTGTCCTCCACCCTGAGACTAACGTTATACTGGTCAGTGGTTTCCCTGTCAAGACTTGAGACTAGTACCAGTCTTCCAAGTGCCTCGTCCAAATAAAACTTGCTCTCAGTGTTGCCGCTGACAAGGATGTATCGCAGGTCTCCGTGAATTCCTGTGTCATTGTCGGTAACTTGTGCTTGAAATACAACGGTACCTTGAAACATAACAAATGAAGAAAAATCGAGAAAAACGGAGTAAAAAATGATCCAGAAAAAAAAGGGTGAATAATAATTCAACAACCCGATTAAGAGATTTAACTTTTTAAGAAAACCTGATTCAACTGACCCAAAGTAATGTTCTCCATGACGTCAATCTGATACAGTTGGTCAGAGGCCACAAACGTCGGCGCATGCTCATTGACTGGAAGTACACTAACGGTCACTGAAATGTTGGAACTTTTGACAGGTGAGCCAGAGTCAGATGCAGTCAGCAGTAGGTTGTATAATGACTCTTCCTCTATGTTAAGGGTCATGTTGAGTCTCACCTCGCCCAAGGAAGATGAAATGTTGAATTTACGTTGAGCATTTCCTTGCGTTATAGTGTAAGTGAGAATCGAATTAGAATCTGGATCCGTGCAGTTGGCGGAAAACACCAACGTTCCTACAACTGAAGACTCCAACAAAGTAATCACATCAGCTACAGGTGAGCATGAAGGTGCATTATCGTTAAGGTCCAAAACGGTAACGTTCACAGTCGCAAGGCTCCATTTTGTCAGGGGCGCGGGGGCGTTGTCACTTGCGAGCACGGATAGGCTATACTGAGAAAGAGCCTCATGATCTAAAGACCTTCTAAGGGTCAAAGTTCCAGCATTACTGTCGAGAAGGAATGCGTTATCCACATTACCGCTCGATATGGAGTAGGTTACAAGACCTTGAACTCCGCTGTCACCATCTTGAGCTTGCACCGTTAACAATGTGGTCCCAACAGGGGTGTCCTCAGTAACAGAGGCATTGTAGAAGCCATTTTGAGTAAATGTCGGTGTGTATTCGTTGATGGCCGTGACAATGATATAGATTGTTACTTCAGAAGAGAGCTGCGGAGAACCGTTATCAGAAATGGTAATGATTAAATCATAGTAAGCCTGTGCCTCTCTATTGAGAGTACTTGCCAAAGTTACTTCCCCTGTAGAAGAATCTACTGCAAAGCTGGAGTTCGTGTTTCCTGAGCTTATGCTGTACGCTATGACCTCATTCTGTCCCTGATCGGCGTCACTACATAGTAGACTCACAATTGTACCATTAACTGTAAAGTTCTCAGCCACTTCGATGACGTAAGAAGCTTGGCTACAAAGCGGTGCGTTATCATTGACGTCAAGTATGGTAAGATTTACCGTCGCTGTACTCGACATACTGGGGGAGCCCTGATCTGTGGCTTGAACTGTCAGAGAATACATGGCTGTTGTTTCGCGATCAAGCAGCTTTCTTAGTACAATAACACCCGACTTTGGGTCGATTTGGAATCGTTCTTCCGAGTTGCCATCAATTATTGTGTATATAATAGTGCCGTCGGATCCGTGATCGTCGTCTGTTGCTACCACTGTTGCAATCGCAGTGCCAACAGAAATGTCCTGTTAAAAACACAGATTAGCAGTGTAAAAAAATGCCTATGCAAAAAGGATAGAGTCATAAACTTATGACTTTAAAAAGTTTCCTGTAATCGTCAAGATTGTTTGTTTGACCAGAAGTTAAATTAACTAATAGGATGGTCACAAAGTAGGTGACGTCAAAAATAATGGCTTTTTAGCTTACAATCCATGTGCAGTGCCTTGCGCGTTCGGGGAAGTTAAAGCCTGGCGAGCTTGTATCTGTCCTTTAATCTTTCATTTTAGTCGCGTACACGTGTGGTCATTTCACGGCATAATTTTGCGAATGTTAATGACTAAAATAAAGCTATGGTCCGTTTGAAAGGCCAAGCCATTCGCTGTTTTAGAAACTATGGCTTCGCCTCGTTTATTCCACTTACGTCTTGGGGTGTGGATGTCAAAACAAAGGCTCCTCCTTCAACAGGTTCCACGCTACCCTTGTCATTAGAGAACCACTATTAGGGACGTAACTATCTCTGGCATTGAACACTCCCAAGTTTCTATCTTTCATGGTTTGTGGAATTGGGTAGGGATGGGGGGTACCTCGAATGGGTCGTATGAGTCCCCTTTTCACCCATCCCCTCTGGGTAGGTTCGTGTCCAATAAAGCTGGCAAAAACAACGGATATCTCACCTCTGAATGGCTGACTGTGTGAGTAGAATTACTAAACACAGGAGCGTACTCGTTTGTGCCAGTGATCTGCACAGTAACTGTCGCATAAGTAGTAAACTGGGGCGAGCCTCCGTCTGCGACTGTTATCACAAGTAGATATGACTTCACAGACTCAAAATCAAAAGTGGATTGGGTGGTTACCAGGCCACTTCCGTCTACAGTAAATAGTGTTGTGTTACCTAAAGCAAAAAAGGAGTTGTTACAGCGGACCTGATGTGATTATTTTCATCTCGAGAAATTGGTCCTTTTCTGCATTTATGGCCGTCGTAGATAAGCAAACGGGTTTCTTACGAAAATACTGTCCTATCTTTTTTTTCTTTTTACACTTTTGGAATCAATACATTTAAAAGTTAGATTCCCTTCAAAACACTCAGTAATCCTGAGAAACTAGACGGCAGCTCATGAAAGCAGTTTTGCATATTTAATTTACAGATTTCCTAGTAAAAGTGAATTAAAGGAGTGATTACATAAAATCAATCATTTAGAGTAATTGGTGACATACTACCTTTTTTATAAATTTTACGTTCTTCAAAGCGCTGTTGCAGGCAAATTTATATTTGGAATGTAAGTGACTTTATCTAACCTGTAGTGATAGCATATGAGGTAATTGTATTGGGTGACAGGTCGGTATCTGAACAATTCAACTGCGCAATCGTGGTTCCTATGGCAATCGACTCATTGATTGACGCACTATAAATACAAGGGTTGCAACTTGGAGTGTTGTCATTGACATCGGTGATTGTTATAACAAGCGAGGCGGTAGACGACAAAGGAGAATCTGGGTCTTGATCAGAAGCTTTAATAACAAGACTGTAAGAGTCTGCTGATTCTCTGTCCAGCGTACGCTTCACAAAAACCTTGCCATCAGTGGGTCTAATGGTAAACATGTCACCAGAGTTTCCGGATGTGATTGAGTAGGTAACCAAGCCGTAAACTGAGCCACTGTCGAGGTCAGTCGCGTTCACACTAGACACTAATGTTCCGACTGTAGCGTTCTCGCTCGCTAGAGCCGTGTAAGACCCGCCATTTGTGAACTGTGGAGTGTGCTCATTTACATCTAAGAAAGGGAACAAAAAGAATAGTCGCGTCATCCAATGCTGCTCACTCTAGTCATAATAATTAATTCTAGTTGGGTGGCATAATATTACGTTCAAAAACTCTCCGTAGACGGGAACAAGAAAATTGCTCTGTTTACAGGAACCTTCAAAAAAAACTTACGCATTAACTTAAGAAATGTACTAAACTTGAAATACAGCTCTACAACCTGAGACAAAAGGAATCTGCTTCTCAGTGAAGTTATTCCATTGCTGCTAGAACCTGTTCTATATTGCACTTCACACTTGAAGCTCAAGTAACATATCCATACCTGTTATGGTAATGGAAACTTTAGCCAAGCCAGAGAGCGGCTGGGTAGAGTGTCTGTCTGTCGCCGTGATCTCCAGGGAATAAAACGACGTCGTTTCTGCATCAAGTGTTGATGCAACGTTTAGAAAACCTTCGTCTGTGATGGAGAATCCTGTGCCAGTGTTACCTTGCGTACAAAAATGCGATAATTTTATGATTCTCAATAATGATGGTAATAGAGTAACGATAGTGAGGTTTGTGCTAGAGCTGTTGAAAATGATAATGACAGGAGTCGATTACCCGGCTCCTGATAATGTTGATGATGGTGAGATACGATGATGATAGAGATTTTTTTTTTTTTTTTTGGTTTTTTTTTGTATTTTATTTATTTATTTTCTTTTTACAGGTATAGTACAAACAACATACAGATCGAAACATACAAACATTACAAAATTTACAACAACTACCTTAATTACAAAAAAAAAGAAAATAGAATAAATAAATAAAAAGCTACACTGCACTACACTACAAGGCTTACATAACTTATTCGACTTGAACTTAAAATACAGAGTAATACAGGGAGTATTAGAAAAACGAAGTTTGGATAACAGCTACTGTTGTATTAATGGGAGTAACGGCTTCCATTTTTTATCATGGAAATGGATTTTGTTGTTTCTTTTCGCGATAAAACGTTCGGTTTGAAACGTTTTTTTAAATTTATCGACTAACAGTCTTACACATAAACAGCCCTTATTTAACTTACAGCGGTAAATAAAATATTTGCTTTCAAGAATGATGTAATTGACTAGAATGCTTATATTATCTGTATCTAAGATCCCAAAAAGGACATTCATGATATCAAACCTAATAGTTATATTAAAATAATCAAGTACAGACTTTAAATCATTCCAAAACATGCTTACTTTTGTACAATGGAAAAAGAGATGTTCTATGGTCTCCAACTCCTTTTCACAAAAATCGCACAAGGGAGAATCTACTTTTTTGAACTTAAACAACATCTTGTTCGTGTATAAGATCCTGTTTAATATTTTATATTGGAATTCTCTTAATTTAGTATCCAATGTTGTTTTGAAGGGCAGTAGATATATCTTTTCCCAGTCCAACTGAAATGTGTGTGTGCTGAAAGCTTCGTTATATTTCTTTTGCGCTGTTGGTATACTGGATATCTTAGAAACAAAACTGTCATATAATGACTTTGATTTAAGATTTTGGAAATTGACTTTTTTCCCTTCAATACGTAACTTGAAATCAGTTTGGATTAGATCATGAGTTTTTGAAGAGATAGAGTTTTTATTTGTTTTTAATATTTTGCGCCATTCTTCAGGAAAAGCATTGAAGAGACTGAAAAGTAGAAAATGTTCAACTGGTGAGAGAGTTGAATATAATGGTTCCTTGTTCGACTTGAAATCTCCCCACTTGTCGTAGAGGTCTCCAATTTTTACAATTCCAAGATCAATCAGCCTACTGTTATAGACTGACTTTGATTCAATGCAAATGAACTGGTTGTTCCATATGACCTGATTTGCTATTTCAGAGGATGAGGAGGGGTTGTCTTCATTTAAAAGGGTCCACGCCACAATGCATTCTTTGTAAAATTCTGGAAGAGTTACCGGTAGTTTAGTGTAGTTAAAATTGCAATGAAACAAGAATTTTCCCCCTACTTGCTTAAGATAAAAATCCAGAAAAAACTTCCAGCCAGCGGGATCAATGGAGAGATATCTCTTAATACAAATTATTCTTTGGGCAGAGATCATTGACTCAATGTTAGGCATTTTCAAGCCTCCTTTATCAATAGGGTTAATAAAAGCTCTGCGCTTTACTTTATCTTTTCCCTTCCAAACAAAGGAATATAGCAAAGTATTTATTTTTCGATAAACTCTTCTTTATTTGAAATGAGAACAACCCTGTATAAAATCTTTGGTATGGCGAAAGACTTGATCACTTGAATTTTTCCAAGTAGTGTAAGACCTCTCCAGCTCCAGCCCTTCAGCAATCCCCTCAGAGATTTCTCGATTGATTCAAAGTTAAGCTTATAAAACAGTGCGTGATTAAAGGTGAAATGAACCCCTAGGATCTTTATGGCCTTACTTATTTCATTAACACCTAGTTCTGAGCTGTTTACTTCCATATTTCCTAGTAGAAGAATTTCCGTTTTGTCGTGATTGACCTTCAATCCGGAGTATGTACTAAACAGATCGATAGTATCAAAAAGGGTGCGATGCGAAAATTTGTCCCTAACAAATGATGTCATATCATCAGCGAATATAACTAATTTGATTTCGGAACCATCCACCTCAATACCCTTAATTTGATCGTTATTACGTATGGATAATGCCAATAATTCAAGTACTATTATGAAAAGAGATGGCAAGAGTGGGTCGCCCTGGCGAATACCCCGTTTAACATTGAAAGAGGGGGTGGAAAAACCATTATTGAAAACACAACTTGATATATTATTATAAAACGTCTTGATCCACCCCAAGAAGGATTCTCCAAAGCCAAAGAACTCTAGCGATTTGTGGAGGAAGTTCCAATTTAGAGAATCGAAGGCTTTCTCAAAATCAGTTGCAGTCATTATACCTTGGTAGTCTCGCATTTTAGTAAATTCCAACACATCGGTTATCGTAAGAGTTGCATCAAAAATTGTTCGTCCTTTTACAAAGGCATTCTGGTCATAATGGATAATATGTGGTAGGACATTTTCTAGCCTTTTAGCGATAGCTTTTGAGCCAATTTTAACATCAACATTTACCAGAGCAATCGGTCTCCAGTTTTTTATCCATCTCCTATCTTTGTCCTTTTTCTCAATTAAAGTTATTACGGCTTGCTTTTGCGAATGTGATAATTCACCATGAAAATACGCATAATTTAATGAGTCCACTAGAAATGTTCCGATTTCTGACCAGAAGAACTTGTAAAATTCTATATTGAGCCCATCGTTTCCAGGAGTTTTATCGTTACTAAAGGTAGACAGAACCTTGAAACATTCGGAATATGTTAATTGACCCTCGCACGTTTCCCGCATTGAGTCGGTTAACTTAGGAGATGAGAGGGTATCTTCCAGAAAAGGACAAATCGAATAGTCAGTTTGTATTCCCGACTAGAGATGATGGCTAGCGCATGACAGTGCTTATCTCAGTGATATAGCTATTCAATGGCACCTAACAATTTCACGTACATGGAAACATTCGGTCACTGGGTGCCCCTGGCTTTTAATGATGGTAATGGCGACAACGATGTTGCTAACAATGAACGTGGTAGTGCGGCTGCTGCTGTAGACGATGATGGTGATAATGAGGATAGCATGCAGTGATAGTGATATGGACTGAAAGGGGACAGAACACAAACGACTATTACTCCTGAAAATATTTAAGTGTCGAACCATTCATAAGTAGGATGCAGCCTAGAACTGCTGCCTCGTACCCTGATGTCTCTCTCTCGACGAAAATTCGCGCAAAGGAATTTCTCCTTCCCACGTCCCTTGCGCTTCGTCACCAGTCACTCGCGTGTCACTCGCGTTTCGCGCTCGCCTCTATGCGAAAAACGAAGTGCCTAAGGAGGAGGCAGATGTCTAAAATGTGTGCAGTTCCACAATGGTAACGAAAACGCTGGATGGTATAAATGCTGATAATGATCATGGTGCTGGTAATGTAAATGATCGGTAAATGATGATTGCGCTGATTGCAGTTAAGAAAAAAACCTATCATAATTAGGTAGAGCATGATCGTGCGGGTGAGTTTAGTCCTGAATAACGGTTATTGTTGACAGTGACTGACGTTTTGACAGTAAATAGTGTTGTGTTACCTGTTACTGGTTTTCATGGTTTTCACCCCATGACTTACGGGGACATTGCGTGACAGTGACAGAAACTCGATAAACCAGATAAAATGAGTAGTAATCCTTATTGAGGTCTGGTACGTCACAAATAAAGGGTTTAGAGTCTAAGGTAAGGTAAGGATCTTCTAAAATGAATCAATACGTTTCTTACCAGATGTTATTGCCATGAGTAATTGACCACTGGTTCCAGAATCGGCATCTGCACATGTTAAATTCAGTATGTTAGTAGACACCGCCGTATCCTCTGCGATTGTCACGCTATACACAGTCGGAGTGAATGTCGGCGCGTTATCATTCTCGTCACGCAGTGTCACAGTCACGTTAACAGTTGCAGATTTTGGAGAGGCTGGATCTCCGTCGATGGCTGTCACGGTAAGTAGATATGATGTAACAGACTCATAATCTAACGCCTGCTTCACTGTGATAGAACCGCTGAGCGCGTCGATGTAGAACGCTGAGTTGCTCGATAAGGAAAACGTGACCTCGCCTTGTGATCCAGAGTCGCTGTCAGTTGCGATGATTGTCAGCACCGTCGTCCCGACAGGGGTATTTTCTGATATGGTCACGTTGTAGAAAGATTTACTAAATACTGGCGCATGCTCATTAAGTGGTGCCACGATGACGTCAACGTGGGAGAGAGAAGAGAGCTGTGAGCTCATTGGCGAGCTGCTGTCACGTGCTTCTACTGTTAAAGAATATGATTGGGTGTCTTCATAATCTAGCTGCTTGGCAGTGGTGATTTGACCAGTGCTAGATGATATAGCGAAAAAGCTATCAGGGTCGCCATCGGTGATACTGTACACAAGAGCTGAATTCGTACCCAGGTCCTGGTCAGTGCATTGAAGTTGAGTAACACTGGAACCAGCTGTTGTATTCTCATAGAATTCAAGCTGCAATGCAATCGTGGAAAAACATTTTTTTTTTTTTCACACATTAGGAGAAGAGTCAAAAGGGCTGGAGTTTTATGATAAATTGCCTACTAATATCAGTAAGAGAGTAGCAATGCAGCACCCATGCTGCGACTATATTAACCTGTATTTTCTCATACAGAAGAGTCAGAGGGGCTGTGGTTTTAAAATAAATTGCCTCCTAATATCAGTAGAGAGTAGCCACGCAGCTCCCATGCTGCGCCTATATTAACCTGTATTTTCTCATAAAAAAGAGTCAGAAGGGCTGCGCTTTTATAATAAATTGCCTCCTAATATGAGTAAGAGAGTAGCAATGCAGCACCCATGCTGCGCCTATATTTACCAGTATTTGCACATTACTTAGTACTCATTCAGTTCTGGTTATAAAAGTTAACTTGAGCATAGATGCACTGTTCACTTTACGTCTATTTGATATCCTGCTTAAATTGTTACCTTGTAGTGATCCGGATAAAACACAGGATCGTTATCATTAATATCATTCAAAGAGATGGTCACATTCACAGATGAAGATTTCACATCAGCGATATTAGGATCCCGGTCACTGACAGTAACAGTCAAAGTGTAGTTATCAACAGATTCTCTGTCCAAACTTGTTTTAACGCGGATCACTCCACTGCTTGTGTCGATATAGAAAGGAGCTGATGAAGGCGTCAAAGTGTAACTAACCTCACCTGCGTTTAAATCAAATTTATTTATAAATAAAGAAAGATAAAAAGTGTTGAGCTTGTAGAAGCCCTGGCAAAAGATGGACTATCAAGCTTGTCAGAGGGTACTGACAAACTTTTACCTCTAATCATAATTTGAAGCATACTTAAGCACATAAACCGTTGCAGGACCAGCTCAGTCAGTAGAGCACGTAATCGCAGAACGGGAGATCGCGGGTATGATCGGCCGAGTTTATAACTGAGAATGAGAAATGAAGTGCCCTTCAAACGACTAGACCTTCACGTAGTTTGGATAAAATAGTAGTCCCGTCTCCAGTTGAAGATGTAGGAAAAGTGTCCTCAACAAGTATTTTTGTGTTTAATACATTGACACTAAAATAAACGGCGATTTCTTTTCGGATCACGGTCACCATATAAATGCAGTAGCCATATCATTGTCAAAGGCGCTCTTTGAATCACACGGCAATACGTGTGCGTTAAATGGTGCTCTTCTTCGCTGATGCGGTATAAAGTAATAAAGTCCACAAACCGAGAGCCTTGACAATACACTATTACTTAGTGATAGGCTTTGTTTCTTCCCTGGGATATATTTTGATGGTATTTAATGAGTATCTAGTTTCCAGAAATTACTTTATATAAAAAAGCAAGCCAAAATAACTGGAACTTAAGGCTGGCCATTTAGAATTACTTCCGTGAAAAGCTTTTTGCTCATTCAGAGTACCTTGCGGTCCATCATCTTGATCGACAGCTGACACTCTTAGAATTGAAGTTCCCACGGATACATCTTCAGCGATGTTAGCGGAATACTCCGCAGAGCTAAATACCGGCGCATGCTCATTTACTGGGGTGATGTCAATGCTTATTTCCATGACTACGGATTTTTGAGACGAGGACGGACTGCTTGAATCACGTGCTTGTACTGTGAGTGCAAAACTGGGCGTGGTCTCGTAATCCAGCCACGTGGCTGTGGACAATGTTCCGTTGGAATCAATGCTGAAGCTAGTATTGGAGTTCCCAGATGTGATACTGTCGTAAAGAAACACAATGAGGTAAGGACAGGTCACCAATACAGAAAGATGAGGGATTTAGACTTATGTTAATGGTAAACGGCAAATTCATGTGACGCTTTCTACTAACAGAAAATGAACAGAAACTATGCAGGGTATCTCTTATGCACAAAACTCGACTAAAACCGTGGCTACAAATTTTTGCAGAGATAATGAACAATATGGAGTGTTTTCACATGACGTCAAGGCAGCCATATTGGTGTCCCAAAACAATGAAACGGCGGCCATTTTGGTGTCCCAAACCAGTCCTCTGGGAGTTGAACTATTTTCTTATGCAAACGCTTTCTTTTGTTCCAATAAATTTGCATATATGCTGGCCACGTGAGTGAAAACACTCTATAGGTAAAGAGAAAACTTGGTCACACGGTACAATTGACTTCTTTCGTTTGCCGTAAACGTGATACTAAATCTCTCTAACAAAAACTGCTGTTCGCGACTGCATTTGAGATAATTAAAGCTTCGTTTGGACAAGAAAAAGGCTTAAAAAGATCACATATTCAAATCCGAGCAAACAGGAGATAATCTAAGACGAACGAGTTCAAATGCCTCCTTACTGATCTCCTTTTCAATACTTGGATACCATCTCGTATTCATTACCTGTTAGTCTGAGGTCAGCCGGTCTCTTTGCCCCACCAGCCCCCATCCCCCCCTTCCCAGAAACGGAAAGACTAATTACCTGTAAACTAAAAGGCCATTATCCCCTTCATCGTCATCAGAACATGTTACACTGAGTGCATTAGTTCCCAGGCCAGCATCTTCCCTGACGGCAGTACTGTAAGACGAAGGATTACAGATTGGCTTGTTGTCATTGGCATCCGTTACTGTGATTGACACAGTAGCATTGACAGAGTTTTCTCCATCTGTAGCCTCGATTTCAAGCGTGTAAGAGGAAGTAGCTTCTCTGTCCAGGTTCCTCGCAAGTTGTATTGCTCCGTTGTCGGCGGATATATAGAAAAAGAAGCCTGTATTTCCCGAAACGATCGAATAGACGACCCTTCCATGGGCGTGCCCGGAATCGTCTGCATCGTTCGCTGTGACTCGTGTGATTTCCGTACCGAGGCTTGTATCCTCGGGAACGGATACCACGTAAGCTCCGCTGTTTGTGAAAACGGGCGAGTGTTCATTGACTGGAGACACAGACACGTGAACAGAAACCTCAGTGGAAAGACTTGACACACCTCCATCTGTCACTGTGATGGTAAGCGAGTATGACCTAACTGCATCGTAATCTAGAGTGTCTGCAATAACCACTGTTCCGTTACTGGACACGCTGAATTTTCCTGAAAGAAAGATCAAAGCATAGGGATAAATTTTCTATACTTGAAGAATGATCTTCACAGTTCTCAAAGGGTTTCCAACTTGTGACCTTTTCCTATGACACTTCCCCCAGCTGAAGTGGAGAGAGGATGCTGATATGTGAAGAGAATTCATCTTGGGCGTTCTATCATGCAGCAAGTCAGAACCTTACAACCAAGATCTACCTTCAAATCTTTAAACATTTTCGCGTGCCGTTACACGCGAGTCAAATCCTACCCTGGCTCCACTAACAGCACTTTTTCTAATTAACTGAAATAGATTCCATGTTGCCGGCCTTGGGTCTGTTCAGTAATAGATCACAGATGACGACTAAATGTGGTAAAAATAAAGAAGTGGTATACGAGCCGCAAGCGAGTCCGTCACTGATGTTTTTACCACATTTTGACGTCTTCTTTGCTCTATTACTGAACACACCAACGACAACATGCAATCTAGCTATTTGTTTTATACAATGATCAGAAAAGAAAAAAGACTGATACACATACCTGCCTTGCACCCTTTGACTGTTCGAGGATTGGCGTTAGTTTAAGCATTGTTTAAGTCCCAAACGCTACTTTTCGTCTCTGTTTTTTCTTTTTTTTCAATATATTTCTTGTATACGGTTTCCTCGAAAGTTTTTCAACGTCTTTTATTGCTCAAAGCAGAATAATGGCGAGAACATTTTGCAAAACAGCGAGTCTCTCGTAGCAATGACACACGATGGCAACTGTTATGAAGATTTCTTGGGGTTTCGGCGTTCTAAAGTTGTCAAGAATTCTTTTTGTCTCCGTTTCTCCATTTTTCTTTTTTTTAAACAGCTCCAACTAAACGTTTTTTCGAGGCTTTCACTTGTTTAATCCGAAATAATCTCACAAACATTTGCAAAACCGCAAAAAAAACAAAAACGAGATTCCCGTGATGTCACCATGTATATGTACTCTCATGGGCAACGAGCAATCACAGCGCGTGTAGAATTCAGGTCATTGTATAAAATATACGATACTACACTATATTATTACTATACCACGCTTATTTATCATGATTGATTACCGTCTGAGTTTCCTGTTGATATCGTGTAACTCAATTGGCTGTTTATCCCTGAGTCTTGATCACTGCAGTTCAGCGTAGCCACAACATCGCTGACAGCAGCTGTCTCAAGTATTGCGGGCGTCAGCAATCCAGGAAGGCATGCTGGGTTATTATCATTGAAGTCCAACAAATTCACAGTCACGGTAGCCTGGGCACTAAGTGGACTTCCCGAGTCGCCGTCTGTAGCTGTAATTGTAAGAGTGATCTGGGAACTGGTTTCGTAGTCCAAAATGTAAACCAGTTCTACCAGCCCACTATTTCTGTCAATGATAAAGTTCCCGTATGCGTCTCCCGCGGTTATGGAGTAGGTAACCTCTCCTTGTGAGCCCATATCGGCGTCATTGGCCGACACAGCAATGACGTCATGACCTAGTGCCAGGCTCTCCGAGACATTTACAATGTAAATACCGCTGGATGTAAACTGCGGTGTGTGTTCGTTTATGCCGGTAACGGTTATCAGAATTGTAGTGGTGGCTGTTTTTGGAGGGGAGCCAGCATCTGAAGCTTCAACGGTTATTTTATATTCTTGTAGTGATTCGAAATCAAGAGACGCGCTTGTGGAAATCTTGCCAGTTGAAGAATTCACTACAAAGGCTCCAGCATCCCCGGATACTATACTGTATGTTACCTAAAGAAAAAAAAAACAAACACCACTGTCTATAAACTCATTACGATATAACAGGCCACTACAGCTTGAAAATCCAATAAAAGCTGCCGGAAGCTACTTACGTGTGGCACTGTGTAAAAGGTGGTTCAAACTTTTTGATTCTGTGGATACAATCCTTATGAGTGATCAATGAGTGATCATTCAGTTGAAAGCTTCTGAGCAGTCATTTCCTGTGACTCTGTTTATTATGCTGTACAAGGTACAGTGAAGGTGATTCTAACTTTTGAGTTTGTGAATAAAATCCTGGCCGCCGTTTAGCGCGGTACTTACTTAACTGTGTCTGAGAAAAATCAGCACCTTTACGAAAATAGTGAGCTTACGCAACAAAGAGAAAAGGAGGACGGCAAAACGTTTGTGCGTGATATGACAAACGTGAAAGGGCTATTACTTGCGAGTTTTGTCGAGATCTTTAGTTAACCTTACTGGGTTCTGGTCTTCTACAAAAAGACCTGTTTAAATTAAGCAAGGAGAAGTTAGGGGGAAGCGTTTCTCAAACACGATTACGATCACGCTTGTCACACAAGTTTTGCCGTCTTCTTTCCTCTGACGTTCTACCGGGGCCGTTCTTTTGTGTAAGTTCATTAGTAAGTGGCTGACCTCTCCGTTTCCGCCAATATCCAAGTCAGGACACTCCACTGTTATTACTGAAGTTCCTACAGCCGCGTTCTCTGCCACTGAACCAGCATAGACAGACGTTCCACATACGGGATTGTTATCATTTACATCACTGACGGTGACATTAATGGCAACCAATGAAAAACGACCCCCAGAATCCGTAGCGGTGAGAGTGAATGAATAGGAGTCTTGTGACTCACGGTCTAGTAAAGCATTGGTGGAAATCACTCCAGTGTTTTCGTTAACGGTGAAGTTGACGCTGTCTGCTCCTGTAAGAGACAAACATAGATATTCTGTATACGACTTAAAAAGTAAATCGTCCAATAGAGACCTTTAGATTCAAGGACGAGGACGACTAAGAGTACGAGATGTGAATTAAAGTTTTTTCGCGTATTCTCAAAATATAGACTCCCCGGAAAGCTTCATTTTACTATTTTTTACTGGAAAGGTTAGCACTGTTACCTTTAGTGAAGGAGGTTATACCCTCTCCCGATCAAAAAATGATAAAACTACTAATATTTGATAACTTGTTTCCGCCACTTCGACATTCTCACTAAAACTCGAACTAAGAGTGATCATGACGCCGTCTACCACGTTTTCCCGCCAAAATGACTTTGCTTCACGCGCGTGCAATACTTAGTATTGAGAAAATCTCGTATAGAAAGTTAGTCAACGAAACGATGAAGCCGTCGATCGGCAATAGCTTTGATTTTTAACTTTTAACTTAAACAGTAGTGAAAGGTCTCTTTAGACTTCAATATTAAAAGGTTTTTTTCTTTTTTCAAAATACTGCTGAGGGGCGACCTGGCAAAATTAGAGAAAAGATTCCACACCGCCGTACGTACACTCGTTAATTGTTTGCATTTATCGTTAAGTAGAATGTAGTAAGAAAACAATTTTGTCATCTTCTGTGGTCTATAATTGTGCTGTTTAAACGGCACATCATGTCATCAGAATTATAATTAACATTATTAACATCATTACAGAATTTGCATTCCCGCATCATAATTATCATCGTCATCATCATCATCATTGTCTTTATCAGTTAAAAGTATCTGTATGTCCGACCGCCTGTTCTTGTCGACTAAATTCTCAGATTTCTTCGATCTTCATAAAGACAAATTTACAAAAAGTGAAAAGTAAACTATTTACTGTCAAACTCAGAAAACCGTGAACACCTGAAGAATTTCAGGAATGTTGATTGTGTACTGGCCAATCACAACAAAGTTCAGGACACGCGAACAAACCTCAAAACCACAATTAATTACGTTGCTGTTTGCGGTTTAGTTATCTAGCGCCTAATTAGCTTATTTCTCGCAGCACAATAACATTCCATAAATATTTCCGGTGTTCACGGTTTTGTAAGTTTCTCAGTAACAATTATTCCACGAGTGCGCGTTGGATATGAGTTGGCTATAATCATCTCATATCCAACAAGCGCGAGTGTAATAATTTTTTTATTAAAGAAGCCCACGAAATATCTAGAATTCTTCCCGACTTTATTTGTAAAAACAACCGATTTTAAGATCTTTTTTTAATTTTGAGCAGACGCGTACAGTTACCATATTTGGAGAGCATGCATGGTATAATGGCTCATATACCATGATGTCTAAGCCCATCAGAGCTCTACAATTGCATAATCAAATGATTCAGTTCTTGATAATTACTGTTATCCGTACCTGATATTGTGTAGGTTATAACATCTGACAGATCGTCATCACTTGCCGTTACCCTTATGACACTCGTGCCAGGAATGCTATCTTCCGACACACTGGCGCTGAACGACGAGCTGCTGAACACTGGATCATTATCCACAGCATTTATTACTGATATTATTAAAGTGGTTGTACCGGTATTGTTTGCATTATCTGTAGCTGTGAGAGTCAATGAGTAGACCTGCACTGCTTCATAATCAATGTTTGTTGCAGTTTGAATCAAACCATTGCTAGTTATACTGAAATGTGAACTGTTAGAGCCCGATAATGAATAGGCAAGCGATGTGTCAGCGACATCACCATCCGAAGCAGTCACGGTCATTACCGAAGATCCGATGGCGACGTTTTCTGTCACGTGACCGTTGTACGAGGCGCTGTTAAATGTCGGCGTTTCGTCGTTGATGTCAGTGATAGTCACGGTGACCGTCGAGAGCGTTTTTCTACCGTTTCCATCGAATGCCTGCACGGTTAGCACATAAGAAGGTGTAGTTTCGAAGTCAATGAGCGTGGCGGTACTGATTTCTCCGCTTACGCTGTTTATGGTGAAGTCTGAACTGGTGATCCCTACAAATGAAAAGACAATAGAGTCACTGTCTTCATCACTCGCAGAGACTTTAAACACGCTGACAGAAGACGCTGTTCCTTCATTTAAAGTGACGGCGTACGGCGTACTTGTAAACGCTGGAGCGTCATTTATGTCGTTCACAGTTATAGTTAAGGGTGTGCTCAAAGACACTGTTCCGTCCGAAACTAAGATAGTCAAAGAGTAGGAGCTGCTACTTTCATAGTCAATGACACTGTCTGTTGATATTACACCAGTTGCAGAGATGGTAAAATGGGAGCTGTTCGCTCCAGAGAGTGAATACACCAGGGTATCATTGCTGTCTTCGTCCGAAGCGGACGCTAAAACAACTTGGGTTCCAGTGTCGATGTTTTCATCAATAGCCGCAGCGTATGGAGCACTGGCAAAAACAGGGACGTCATTCTGGTTGATGACCTCTACTGTAACTGAGGTCGTGTTAACACCACCTTCTCCGTCTGTTACTATTAGTGTTAACACGTACATTATTATATCTTCAAAATCCAGTGCTTGAGCTAAAGATATCAATCCTGTTTGTGGATGAATTGAAAAGTGAGTGCTTCCAGATCCTGCCAATGTAAAATGCAACGTGTTGTTATCAGCGTCAGAGGCGTTCACCCTTAAAACGGACGCGGAAGCGTCGTTTTCGTTAATTTGTACCGAGTAAGGCGCGTCTAAGAATACTGGAGAGTCATTTTCGTCAGCGACTGTGATAGTCAGTGGTTGACTCACCGTGGTGGTTCCATCGCTAACGCTTACTGTCAGGGAGTAGTAGTTAAGAACTTCATAGTCCGGCTCTTGCGCGGTCAAAATTAACCCAGTAGATGAAGAGACCTGGAAATGAGAGCTGTTTGTGCCTGATAGCGAATAAGAAAGCGTATCACTACTGTCCTCATCTGTTGCTTTTATTTGAAGCACGCTGGTACCATCCGGAACATTTTCACTGACAGTAGTGGTGAAAGGAGTTCCCTGAAAAACCGGCGGATCATTCACATTATTAACACTCACTGTAAGGCTAGTCGTCGCCAGTCCCCCACGCCCATCACTGACCCGGATTGTCAAAGTGTACTGGAACGATTCTTCATAGTCTAAGGCGGCTGTGAGACTTATTACACCAGTGCTGGGGTGAAGGGAAAAGAAACTGCTTCCTGCTCCGTATAAGGAGAAAGTAAGCGTGTCCGCCGGACCTGACGAGAGAAAATTCACAAGTCATGATATATTTCAAAGAAATTGAAAACAGGGAAATATGAAACTAGCAATAATCGGTATAGGCCCTAGCTAGTCAGTTCACGTGGTGCAAAACGGCCAAGCTGGAGAGCAAGGGATTCATCAGGACAAGACAAACAAAAGTCTTTTACATGATTTTAAATGGTAATTTCCTTTGTTTGTCTTGTCTCAGTGCATTTCTTACTATCTAGCATACGCCACTTCCACATTTCCCATAATGCACCTTATTTGCCCCCAAGGCGCATTATGGGAAATGTGGAAGTGGCGTATGGCGGTTTTGTAGCACGTGACTGACTAACTACAAAGGGCCTGTTGATGGTAGCTTTGCTAAAGTCCCGTGACACAAGTTTTCGCTAAATAGATTGAAAGAACATTTCTGTACAAACTTTGAGAGAGGGGTAAGTACTGCTGACTTTTGATAATGCTGTTTTCCTACAGACAAAAAAGATTTGAAAACTCAACTTACCGCTGTCCACGTCCACAGCAGACACATTACCCAAAGCTGCGCCAACATCATTCTCATCAACATTGACCGCGTATGGAGCATTGGTAAACTGGGGCGAGTCATTAGTGTCTACTACAGTGATTGTCAAAGTCGTGTTCATACTTGCTGAACCATCGGAGACACTTACGATAAGTGTGTATGAAGTAATAGACTCGTAATCAAGTGCTTGAGTTGTGGTGACTATACCAGCTGAAGAAATAGCAAAATGATTACTGTTTGTCCCTGATATACTGAAAGATAGTGTGTCGCTTGAATCCTCATCAAACACGGCGGCCTTATATACTGTGGTACCTGCGTTTAAACTCTCTTCAACGTTCGCTGTATAAGGACCTCCTAGAATGGCAGGTGGGTCGTTTTGATTGACAGTTATGACGGTGAGTGACGCAAAGGCCACGCCTCCTGCTCCATCCGACACGCGTACCGTTAATGAATACAGCTCCTGGATCTCGTAGTTGAGTGCCCTGTTTAAGGTTACCAACCCTGTGGCAGAATTGATCAGGAAATCGTCACTTCCAGTTCCGCTCAAGGAAAAAGTGATATTGTCGCCATCAGGGTCACTTGCATTTACGTCAATCACGGCTGCAGTGACGTCATTCTCGGCAACGCTGACGTTACCAGGAAGGTTTGTGACGTAAGGAGCATCGTTGGTATTTGAAACAGAAATGGTCAAGCTGGTGGAGATATTGACTGAACCGTCGCTTACGCTTACAGTGAGCGAGTAATAATTGACAGTTTCATAGTCCAGTAATTGCGTTGTCTCCACAAGACCAGAAGATGAAGAGATTTGAAAATGTCCGCTATTAGTTCCGGATAAACTGTAGCTCAAAGAATCACCACCATCGGCGTCGAAAGCTGAAATTTTGATGACGTCAGTGGCAATTGGGAGATTTTCGCTGACCGTTGCTGAGTAGGGAATACCAAGGAACTGGGGAGAGTCATTGGCGTCTGAGACTGTGACAGTCAATGAAGTGGTAACAACTCCTCCATTACTGTCCGATACACGCACAGTAAGAGTGTACAATGACGTCACTTCGTAGTCCAATACTGTTGTCAAAGCAACCACCCCAGATGTCAAATGGATAGAGAAAAACTCGCTACCACTTCCTAAGAGAAGAAAGTTCAAAGTGTCCGCAGTGTCTTGGTCAGTGGCGCTTACTGTGAGTAGTGAGTTACTCGTGGTGTTTTCTTGCACTGTGAGGGAATAAGGCGCGGCTGTGAAGGCTGGGGCATCATTTTTGTCCGTGACACTAATACTTAGAGCTTGCGTTACTGTCACGGTTCCATCCGTGACAGAAACTGTCAAAGAATAAGAGCTAATAGCCTCGTAATCAAGAGTAACAGCAGTGGTGATGATCCCAGAGTTTGAACCGATGCTGAAGTCAGAGTTATTATTTCCAGCTAAGCTGTATGAAAGGGTATCTGAGGTGTCCTGGTCAGTTGCTGATACTTGCAAAACTGTTGTTCCTATGGGTACGTCTTCATCAAGAGACGCGCTGTATGGAGTGCCAATGAAGTCAGGGCTATCGTTTTCATCTGAAACGGTAACTGTCAGGGATGAAGTCGCTTGTCCACCATTTCCATCGCGTACAATAACACTAAAAACATAACTGGATTTCCTTTCGTAGTCCAATGAGTTACTTAGTGAAACTAACCCAGTAGAGGACAGGATAGAAAAGTCACCGCTTCCTACCCCTGAGAGGAAATATTCCAGCGTATCACTGCTGTCCGTATCGGTAGCGCTCAAGGTATAGACGGTGGCACTCACGTTATTTTCTGGTACTGTGACTGTATAAGGGGCGCTATTGAAAGCTGGAGAATCATTTGTTTCTTTTACAGTGACTGACAAAGCTTCTGTTATAGTGGTAGAACCATCCGAAACGGAAATATTCAAAGAATAACTGCTAACTGACTCGTAGTCTAACACATGTGTTGTTGTAATAAGCCCTACAGAAGACACTGCAAAGTGCCCAGAATTTGTGCCTGCAATACTATAGGACAGCGAGTCACTTGCGTCTTGATCAGTCGCAGTAACCTTTAACACCGTGGAACCACTGACAAGATTCTCGTCCACTTCTGCAGAAAATGGCGCGCTTACGAAGGCGGGGTCATCATTTTGATTGACAACTGTCACATTGAGTGTGGTTTGAGCTATCCCACCGTTTGAATCCGAGGCGGTAATGGTTAAAAGGTAAGACGAGATGGATTCATAGTTAAGAGCCTGACTTGATGACACAATACCGCTGACTGGATGGATGGAGAAGTCTGCACTTCCTGGACCAGATAACAGAAAGGTTATTGAATCACCTGAGGAAAATTAAAAGGAAATGGTGTTCAAATCATAGGCATTATTTATAAGCATTGCGCGTCCTAAAACCAAACCAAACATGCACCGCTTTCACAGACACAGTCATCCGACGACACGATCAGATGTTGAAACAAATACTAGCTCTCTTTCTAGGAGACAGCATAGTTAGCAATAACTAAGGAGACAGGGAGAACTCAACAGTCAAAGCTAATTTTCGTTTTCCCTTTCCGTTTTCATTAGCCTAAAATCCTAGGGCAATTATTTAACCAATTACTGGACTAGTGTAAGGAAGGGTAGCCCTGGTATCTATTTTTCCAAAACACTTACCGGAATCTTGATCTGTGGCGCTGGCTGTATATACTTGTCCGGCAGCCTCGTTTTCATTCACACTCGCAGCGTAAGGTGAATTAGTAAATACTGGAGCATCATTTGTGTCCCTGACACTTATGGTCAGCGGTTGTGATACTATGGATGTTCCATCAGTGACGTTGACAGTCAGTGAGTAAGAGCTTGTCGTTTCATAATCCAGGGACTGGGAAGGAGAACAAAATAGTCGAAGAGATAAAATGTATAGATTTACATAAAAGCTATGTAGTAGTCATACAGATGATCATAAGTGAGTTTTAGATTCAAGTACGAGGACGACAACGAGTATGAGATTTTCTCAATACCGAGTATTGCACATGCGTGAACCAGCGTCATTTTGGTGGGAAAACGAGGTAGCCGTCGTCATGGTGGGAACAAGTTATCAAATGTAAGAAGTTTTATCATTTTGCTATCGGGAGAGTGCTTAACCTCCTTCAGTATAACCGTACAAGCATTTTTGGTGAAAAAAGTCAAATGAAGTTTTTCCGGGGTGTCTATTTTTGAGAACATATCAACATTTCAACATTTTTGAAAAACTTCAAGTTAATTCTCGTACTGTTACTTGTTCTTGTCCTCAAATCTAAAGCTCTCTATTTCTCGCCTTTCGGACACCTCGCCGATAGTACGGACACCAGCTAAAGTCCACGTCAAGAATAGATTAAAGACGTATGAGTGAAATAAAATGCCGCGACCGCTATTAAAAAAAGCTTGTCCCCGATAACGAGTTAGAAAACTGGGCCAAACGAAAAGAACGGATCTGCGAGGGCTGGGTTTCGTTGGTACGATTAGAATCAGGACAACTCGACTCCGGAAAATCGATTTTGAAAAGGGATTCTTTGTTTTTTTAAAGGAATCCAATAACGAACCTTTAGCCCTCTGAATCCAGAAACAGAGTGGACCTAGCGGACTGGTTCTTAATCGGATACGACAGATTCGAGACCCTCAGCGTTTTCTTGGAAGTCGATTTCAAATAGCAATTGGGACATTTTTGTGTCTATTTTTTATTTTCTAGCTTTCAGCGACAAATTTGGCGGAACTGACAAAACGCTTTGCCTCCCAGACCCCAGTTTTTGTAAGCCTGAATAGCACTGTCCTCTGGAGAAATCAATATCCAATGGGAGGAGGTCATCTGCTCCTGTCAGTTGATAAGTATTAGGGTATCCAATTGCGGTATACGGTGGATAGTAATTTATCCCGTAAATGGCGCTATCTACCTTATCAACAAATTGGGCCAGGTGTTTCTTCCGACTAGTTACATCGTTGTTTTGAACTGGACTTGGATTTCCCCTGAAGAAACGCTGTTCTGCAAGGGCATGTCTCATTTATTTAGCGATGGAATGCGCGTTCAAAGTAATCTTGTACCCAGATCTCCCACGGCCAAGGGAAAGGGAGATCTCACTTTTCAGCGTAAGACATAGTGAGATCTGGGTACCAGATTACGTTCAAAGTTGGGCGTGCAATATAAGGTATCAGAGGATGAGTATTACCTGGCTTATGGTGATGATTCCAGTTGCTGAACCAATGCTAAAATCACTGCTGCCAATTAAAGTAAACGTCAAAGAGTCACCGTCTTGATCTGAAGCTGTTAAAACCAACACAGTACTGCCAACAGCTGCATCCTCACTTACACTTGAACTGTAAGGTGTGCCTAGAAAGGTGGGGTCATCATTTTGATTGACAACGTCAACATACAATGAGGTTGTAGCCACTCCTCCATTTGCGTCACTTGCCCATATCGTTAGCGTATAACCGCTGACTGTTTCGTAGTCAAGCGCGCCTGCTAGAGACACCACCCCACTGCTTGAATGAACCGAGAATAACTCACTTCCTACGCCATATATGCTAAACGAAATAGCATCGCCGTCATCATCTGTGGCTGAAACAGTGAGCAAATTTCCACTGTTGATGTTTTCGTTAACGCTAACGTTGAACGGCGCGTTAGAAAACGTCGGAGGGTCATTTGCGTTATCAACACTAATACTTATTGCTTCAGTAACTGTGACACTACCGTCCGATAAGGACACAGTCAGTGAATAAGAATTGATATTTTCCCTGTCGAGTTCTTGAGCCGTGCTGATAACGCCAGTACTTGAACCAATGCTAAAGTGGTTATTATTGGTTCCAGAGAGACTGTACGTCAACGAATCAGAAGGATCCTGGTCACTAGCGACAACCTTTATCACAGTAGTCCCCACTGGAAGATTTTCACCGATGTTAACAATGTAGGGTGTGCTTAGAAATTGCGGCGAGTCATTCTGATCTACAACTGTTACGTTTAAGCTTGTAGTAGCTACTCCCCCATTTGAATCTGATGCTCTGATTGTGAGATAGTAAACGGAAGTGCTTTCGTAATCTAAAGCATCCACTAGGGTGACCACGCCTGTTGTTGGATTGAGCGAAAAATCCACACTTCCGGTTCCAGTTATTGTAAATGTCAATGAATCGCCATCGTCATCCGTGGCACTGACCGTGTAAACTGCTGCTGCCGCATCGTTTTCAATCACGGTGGTAGCATACGGTGCGTCATTGAATGCAGGCGCGTCATTAACGTCACTTACTGTGATTGACAGGGATTCAGTAACAGATAAAGTACCGTCAGTAACGGTGACGTTCAGGGAGTATGAGCCCACTGTTTCTTTGTCCAGCAATTGGGCAGTCGTTACCAGGCCAGTGGATGAAGAGATGGCGAAATGACTGCTGTTAGTTCCGCTGAGCGAGTAGGTCAGAGAATCACCACTGTCTTCATCAGAAGCTTTTATACGTATCACATTAACTCCTGTTTGGAGATTCTCTGCGATGCTAACACTTAATGGTGTAGAAAGAAAATTAGGAGATTCATTGATGTCGTTTACAGTTACGTTGAGATTTGTACTTGCGCTGCCTCCTCTGCCGTCTAAAACAATAACAGACAGAAAATACGAAGATCTTAACTCGTAGTCAAGAGCGCGGGAGAGAGTAACCACACCTGTAGAAGAGTCTAGAACAAAATCCCCCGAACCTGAGCCCAAGAGGATAAACGACAAGGTGTCAGCGGTATCCTCATCAGAGGCACTCACGGTGCAAACAGATGTGCCTGCGTTATTTTCATCAACCGCTGCAGAGTAGGGTGCCTTAGTAAAAGCGGGCTGATCATTTTTATTGTTGACGATGATTGTTAATGATGTTGTTACCGTAACGGTTCCATCGCTTAGAGAAACTGTGAGAGAATACGAAGTAACCGTTTCATAGTCTAATATTTTTGCTGTTGTAATAACACCAGAGCTGCTGGAAATTGCAAAGTCAGCGTTGTTGGTTCCAGAGAGACTATAAGTTAGCGTATCTCCGCTGTCATCGTCGATGGCGGATGCAGTGAGAACAGTAAATCCACTTGTCAGACCTTCATCAATGGCCGAAGTATATGGTGCCCCAAGGAATTCTGGGCTATCGTTTGCGTCACTAATGGTGATTGTAAGGCTGGTGGAGGTGCGGCCGCCATTTCCATCAGATACATGAACTAGAGAAGAAAGGATCAAGTTAAGGCTAAGTTCACACGGCTGAAGCGGACGAATTTTCGTCCGACTGAAAGTTTTGACCACACACTTCGTTCACACGGAACGGTTCCAGGGGGTCAATAGTGAGTTTACGCAACAGGACGGAAGAAAGAAGAGGACGGATAAACGCTCGTGTATGACAAACGTGACAGAGCTATCACTTGCGTGTTTTGTCGTGATCGATCTTCACTTATTTCAATGTTTTCTGGTCTTTTACAAAAAGATCTGTTTAAAGGAGTGTAAAGTTTGGAGAAAAGATTTTTCAAACAAAATTGTCACGCTTGTCACACAAGGTTTGCCGTCCTCTTTCCTCTCCCATCCTGTTGCGTAAGCTCGCTAATAACCAAAAGCTGGCGGCAACTTCCATGTACTCATTTCACGTGTTTATTACTGACCTTATAATGACGTTTAATTTACAATTTTAACATCTTATTCCTCGGAGGCACTCGTGGAAGGAGTAGAGGTTTCCATTTTCGCGAGAAAAAATGCTTTTAAGAGTATCTAAAAATAAACCCGTCCTTGAAAACGCCGTGACCTCGGCCTAATATGGGGGTTGCTTACTCCGGATTATGAGCTCCTGGTCAGAGTCACAGTAATATTGTGCCATGTGAAAGGAGCCTAAAAGTAAAAAACTTTAGCCAGGCATTTTTGTAGCTCATGCTTACGGCGGATTTACACTGTAAATCGCAGCATTAGGGACCAGTTTATAAAATTCTTCACCTCTGCTCCACTTTCTTTTTCCAGTTAAACATTTCCTTTAGCGACAGACGATGGGTTTTTAGGTCTGAACTAAGGATTTTTGTAATTGAATCAGGATTCAGAATTGGAATCAAAAAGGAGACTTAATGTGGTATAAGTCAGTGTAAGGAAAAGATTTTCGCTAGAACCCCAAAATTGCCCCAAAACATTGTATGCTTACCTTTCAAAAACACTCAAGCCAATATTTGTCATAATATGCTAAAATCTGACATAAGATAAACAGAGTTGGAAATCTTCAAAATTGATTAACATACCAATGTGCTGTAAGTCTTGTTGACCTCTTCCTCCAGTTAAGTATGTTGGCATTAGAAACCGTCACTTGGATTTGAAGCTTTCTTACAAGATTCATATAGTATGAAGTTACAATTATGTCTCTTATGAATTTTCCCAGTAAACTCTCTTCAAATATATCACTTATTTACTCACCGGTCACGAAATAAGAGGTCGTATCTTCGTAATCCAACGCCTGAGTGGTTGTTACAATCCCCGTATTGGAATCAATCGTAAAGTGCGTTACACCAGTTCCCGACAGCGTATATGTTAACGAATCACCGTCCTGGTCACTTGCATCTACGTCGTAAACACTCGCTCCCACGGACACATCTTCGGAAACGCTCGTGGAGTACGGAGAACTTGGCAACGTAGGTGCGTCGTTTTTGTTCGTGACAGTTATCGCAACTAGCTCGGAATCACTTGCTACGCCGTCGGAAAAAGTCACCGTTAAGTTGTAACTGTCTTTAGTTTCGTAATCTAAGCTAACTCCCGCCTTGATCCGAATCATTCCTGAGTTAAGGATCTCGAAATCGGAACTCCCCGACAAGCTGAATAAAATGCCATGACCATCTTCATCCGAAGCAGTCGTCTTTAAAACATTTGTACCGCTGGGTTCGTCTTCCGCGATAGTCGCCGAGTATGGATTACAGAGCGAGACTGGGGCATCATTGGCATTCGTTACCGTGACAGTAAGAGAAGTTTGCGTGACACCACCGTTGCTATCAGACGCTGTGACTGTGAGTGAGTAGGATGAGGTAACCTCGTAGTTAAGTGCGTCAATGAGTGTGACAATTCCGCTGGATGCATGTATAGTAAAGTCTGAGCTTTTTGAACCCGATAGACTGAACGTGACAGAGTCTCCTGAAACAAGGGAAAAGCATGTAAAGCTTTGGTTAATAGTCTATACCGATTATTATACAAACAAAGCAATTGAAAGAACTTAAAGTGGATTTCCACTAGCGCGTAATCATGTTTTACGTGTGTATATAAAATAGAGGCAATGTATGGAGGTTGCACGTAAATTTAAAATGGTTGAACCTCGCTCATTGGTAGGCGCGGCCTTCCATGCATTGTCTCTATTTTATTGCCGCTCGCGAATTTCAATTAAGTTAAGCGTTTACGCATTGGAAATCCACCCTTGATCACGGTATTAAGAAACTCGCGTGAGCAAAACGGTGGAATATTTTTCCCAGAATTAATCAGATAAAACTCTTGCTTCAAAGTCGGATCCAGACCCTCAGATAAGGGAGGGCGCCCGGTCATCGAGACCCTGAGATAAGGGTGGGGGAGGGGGGCGGTATCCAAAAAAATTTTTGCAGCCCTTCGGGCCTCAGTATGGTTTAAAAATAAGGCGGGGGCCCGGGCCCACCGGGCCCTTTCCCTGGATCTGCGCTTTCTCTAGAAAGCAACGTTTAGCCGTCATAGAGGGTGTTAGTAGTGTAAAAGAAAAAAGTGATTTCAACGCTTTACCTGAATCTGGATCCGTAGCACTAACAGTAACAACACTCGCTGCAGCGTCATTCTCCGCTACCGTGGCAGAATAAGGCGCCCCCACAAAAGACGGGTTCTCATTCACATCGCTGACAGAAATAACAACAACTGCTGTATCGGTCAGAGAGCCTGCGTCTGTTACGGTCAGCGTCAAAGAGCAGCTAGGTGTGCTCTCAAAATTCAGACTTCCAGCTACTTCTATCACTCCATTGCTCAGCACATCAAACAAGGACGATCCTGGATAAAAGGAATCGATAATTTCCTTCACGTCATATCAGATTCAAAAGACTAAAGATGATTTAGCTTTAATTTTGATTGTCTGGACGAAAAAGATCAAACACTAGAAAAAGTGTTTCATCTGATATCCAAGACGCAAAATGTATAAATAAAACGCGAGAATGAGTGTTTCATCTGATATCCAAACACTGCGTAGCCTGCAAAAACAGACGTATTTTCGGGTGGAGAGAAGCGACGACCGGAAATACGTCTGTGTTCGTGGGCTAAATATTGCGAGGCAATGTGTCAAACACGAGAAGGAGTGTTTCATCTGATATCCAAACACTGCGAGGTAGTGCATCAAACAGGAGAAGTTTCATCTGATCATATCCAAACACAAAGATGTGATGTATCAAACACGAGAAGGAGTGTTTAATCTGATCTCCAGAAAACAAAGAATAGGGTGCAAAACCGAGGGGTTGCCTAGCTTTTGCTAATTTTAAGCAGACTTCTGTGTTCAGTTAGGAAATGAAGTCCTTTTTTGCATTTGTTTATTTTTTGTTTGTTTGTTTGTTTTATCAACATTTCTCAAAGAAAGAAACTATTGTCGGGAAGATGACATTTCTAAATCCCTTCTTATCATAGACCTTCACTGTGGAATGCTAGAAAATAAATCAATTGGAGCAAAGTTGACGAAATTTGTTTCATCAACTGCGGATTTCTCGATCCTCAATCAACCTGAACGTACCTGAGCCGGACAGACTATAGGTCAGCGTGTCACCGCTATCAGGGTCTGTAGCAGGTATGGTAATGATGTCAACTCCATTGACACTGTTCTCAGCAATGACACCGCTGTATGAGGATAGCGTGAAGCTTGGAGCTTCATTCACATTGACAACCGTGATAGTTACGCTCGCATTTGCTGTTTCACCTTAAAAAAAAACAAAGGCCTTGTTTAAACGATTAGTAGCAGATCCAGGCGGACTATACTGCAATACAGATGTTTTTTAATTACTGAAGAAACAAGGAAAAAACCATTTTACCAAGTAAAAAATATTTTTGATTTTATAACGTTTCTATAAAGCACGTCTACAAAAGGAGATTTTGAATTTCGGAGACTGCGCAGTAGTGAGTTAAATTAACGGCAGCATCTTCAAATTACAAATTAGCAGAGAAAAATAAGACGTACAAAAAAAATAAAATTAACACAGAAAGAGAAAAACCAAATAAAAAGACATTTTGTGCGCGTTAGGAATAATGCAAGCTTTTTGTTCCATAAAGCTCAGTAAGCTATATGCGAAATCAAAAACAACTGTATTCTGAAGTCTTCATAAATGAACGACTTGTCTTGTATGCAACTTCGGGGATGAAGGGCTGGAGTAAAATACGCCAGCAAATCAAACTGAATCATTTCAAAATGACGTTATGTATTCCATAATCACCTGCAGCCTCAGCTTGAACCGTCAACGAATAGGAGTCCTGTGTCTCGAAGTCAATTGCCAGTTCATTAGTTAGCACAGATGTCCCAGCCCCACTCAGTTTAAACGGCCCTGCTGAACTGATTATAGAGTAGGTGATGCTATCTCCATCGCTGTCAGTTGCCGAGAGGGTAATGCCGCTGACTGTGGTGTCTGTGGGTACGTTTTCGTTGACAGTGCCGCTGTAGGAGCTGGAGCTAAACACCGGCGCGGCAGCTAAGCAAGAGAAACAAATTGAAAAGATAAACTTGACCTGACTTAGTAGGTATAGGAAGAGGGTGTCTTTGACAGCTGACGGTTAAATTTTTCCAATTTGACAGCTGACGATTAAATCTTTTTAAATCGTTTGACGGTTGACGGTTATTAAGTGGAAATTTAGTCCAAAAGTTGACGTAAAATTAACCTCTGTATGAATTAATATCAAGTTATGCGTTTTGGAGGTTGTCTTGACTGTCTGTTCGCTTATAAAATTTCGAAATATTTTCACATATAAGCAGGTTGTAAGGTATTGTAATGTCTAAAAAGAGGTTTTTGTATGAGAACATGGGAACCGGTTTTCCAGTTTAGAAATTCCTTTGGAGCCAGAATTCCGTGAAGATCAGCCAGTGAAATAGTGTGATTTGAAATACTCTGAAACTTTTTTACGGTTAATCTTGACCTACATTTTTGACGGTTGACGCTAAAAAATAACTTTTTTGACGGTTGACGGTTAATTTTAAGGCCGTTTGACAGCTGACGGTAAACCCAATTGAGACCCTCTAGACAGTGATCTATTGACTTGACGCTTTGAAATAAGAAAGAAGCAAAGTTTAACGCTTGAAAACTGTTGTACAGGTCTTTTAAAATTTTGTGAAAGTATAGTCAGTCGAATGTCTAATAAAAATCTCTTATCTGTTTGTACGAGAAAACCAGGTATCTGGTAAGTACAGTTTGTACTTATTTGTGGGAAATAAAATGTTAGTAGAATGGACTCTCCGTTTAACAGATACTTCTTAAAGATGGACTCCCAAAAAGGGATGAAGTCAGAGGAGTCCCCGCCGTGCTCTGAGTCAGTCATTTTCATCGACTCTTCCACTACCCAAACGGCGGACACTTCAGTCTCTGACCTCCCACAGTTGAGCCCTTAACGTTGTGCACTCGATCATTCCTAATAGTTGGATTGTGCGTTACACTCCTCACACGTAGTTGACAGTATTCAGTTACGTATGGTTATCACTTGATTATTTCATGAAACCCTTGGTACCGACTTGGTAGACTGACTAATTTGCCTGTCATTTTGCAGTACATGTATTAAATTCAAGTACATAGGAAGTTCATGAGGAGCGGTTTGCGGTTTTGAAACCGCATGATATTACTTAGGGGGAACCGTCTACAGGCGAGACCTCGGAGGGATGAGTTAGACCATAAGGTTAGAGTGCTTCAGTGAGACTACTTTACAACTTGGCTTGACTGTAACTGTTGACCAGATTAACAATTATTTCAGAGAAAAAGAGGGAGGATTGTAGACTGCCTATTTTCAGGACTGCAGTTAACAAAATGATGCGTATGGATGCAAGTTTCTTTGAAAGTGGGAAATGTATTTGTGTTTTCAAAAATATGGATACATGAGGACGGTACCTCAAGATTGTTATACACAGTCTAATAAAAGCAGAGATTCTTCCACAACAGTTAACCAACGAGGTACTTTCTACACAGTCGCACGTCAGATCCAGTTGTAAGCAATTTGTAACCTGTGTATATTTTAATTAGAATCGATGGTAGGCTAAATCCTATGGCCAGTATGAGCAGGAAAAAACCAGGTGCTAAAAATAAAGAGCTCGTATGCTTCCGAAGCAATTTATCCTCTTAAATCTATTACGATAACCATGGACAGATATAACAGAACACAAAATTTGCCTCTAAACTTTTACGTCCAATCTTGCCGAGACAAAAAAGGAGAAACGGCAGTTCTGTAAGCGAGTATTATACTGATTATTTTGCGGTTACTGTGGTGTTTATATCGAAATGTAATCATCCTGCAAATCTTGAAACACCAAAGGGGCTCAAATCATGCAGAAAGATAGAAGCCGGTATATTACACAAACAACGTATAATTTACCAATGTGTCGCAATTTATTGGTTGCTGATATCAACCAATCGTTAATTACAATGGAAACACTTTTTACCGAGGGATTCACCGTGGTTTCTTTACCAAATGAGTTGTGTAGTGAGCTACGAAGCAGTTGCGGATCGGAAAGAAATCCGGTACGTAATCATCAAGCAAGTGATTTGTCTTCGTGTTTTTCTTTCAAATGTGTTATCCTTACAATTTATAGGATTGTTTGTTTACTTCTGAATTGATCCTGTTATTGACATATGTTGTTAGAATAGAAATGAAAGTTTAAGCAATTATTAGTAAGCTCACCTTCACAGTGCCGTGTCCACGCTAAGGTTACCAGCCAAGAAACTACCTTAAAGACATGCAAATGCATATTCTTTCCTTCTCGGCATTTTGCTCCTGACAGCTTCTGTTAATAAACTGCGAGAGGATGTAGATACACCGGCTAAAAGCAATGTGGCAACACTCTCCTAAGAGGTCTAAGAAGCAAAATGTACGAAGGTTTTCATGTAAACTCGGATTTTGGTAAATCGAATGATGAAAAATTATGACGTTAAAAGGTTACTGAAGCAGAAATGATTACCCCTTCTTGTGATAATCGCAAAGGGAAAAATTGAATAGATTTGTTTAAGGTTCAGCACGCTTTCATGGTCATTTGCTTTGTCAACTTTTGAAAGGGGCTTTTGTAAATAGGTTACCATGGATACACGCGTTATATCTAGCACCCATTAAATCAACGAAGATTAAACAGGACTTCAACTAAGAGTCTAGGTGGCTTATTTTTGATGGTCTATTAATCTTCACTGAGTCACACGGTCCTCAGCGAAAGAGTTTCATTGGACAAGCACGATGCTCCACGTTGTCTTTCACCTGAGCTTGACAATAATTTCAGCTCAGTGCCAGGGTGTCCCGATTCGATCCTGGCGCCCTAACGATCCATTTTATCTATTTTCTGAGGGAGGGGGGACGTCTGTACACAGGCTAATAGTAAGGTCCCTATTAGCAAATCAACAACTTTGCACTTTCATCACGCTTTTGGGACATTTCTTAGCCGTCGTTGCACGACTACAACGTGAAAGTGCCTAATTTCACGTTTTGTCGAGGACGGGAACTCAAGACAACAACTTTTGTTCTTCTCTTGAACTTTGATACAATCCTTTAGAATTCAACTCCAACAAATTTGCCAACATTTGACGAATTAAACAAGATCGAAGAAGCGCCATAAAGTTTGAGGCAGCGCGAATTCGCTTGTTAAGTGACGTTTTTGTAGCCGTCGTTGTTGCTTAAGCTGTCTCCTTAATGACATCACAATTCTACCCGGACCCGTTTCTCCGGGGTAAGAGGCCATCTACCCGTCAACTTCCCGCCGGCTACGTGTACGGGTACTCCCTGACCACTTGTCCCGCCATAGAGAAACTAGGGAGTATCAAGGAGATACAATTATCAAATATCCCATTAGGTTCCAGATCACCTATTTTTACACGCCAATAAAAATATATTTTCCTTTTGCTACAAAACCTGAATTCATTTTCTTTAGATGAATTTTTCTCCAGTTCTGAGCAGACACTTTCTTAGATTAGGACGATTTTCAGATCTCTTGGCTCCGGCCGATCGCTCTGGCGTTTGAAAACAAAATTATCTGAGAAAGATTAGCACACAGAAAGTTAGAATTATAAAATTTAACTTTTATTTTTATGAAGTATGGATAAAAGCATATTTTGGCGTCATCCTGAGTCTAGCGATCGCTACTAACAAGATTAGCAGTCTGGGCATAAGTGATTTTTTTTTTCGGCCCAGACTGGCTAAGATTTTCATTTAAGCTTTTACATACCTTACCGTTTGACCACTCCAATAAGTCATCCCCGATGCTCTTTGGGTTTCATCTAGAAGAAGCTTTTTCTCCATGATATTTTAATCTTTGCTCTATCAGCATTTTAATTTCTGCAAAATCTGCAAAATCAACATGGCGTCGGTACTTACAGTCTCAACATGAAGCTTTCTCTTGCCAGAGACCACGCCGCTGATGACGTCATATCGTGTCAAAGCGAAAAAACATGGCGGACCCTTTGTATTGCATTTGCAGACAAACATATGATCCGTCGCAGTTTATGATCCAATGCGATTCGTGCGAGGAATGGTATCATGGAAGGTTAGCTTGACTATTGCTTAAACTTTCGGTGTTAAAAAATTGGTAAATAATCCCATTTTTTTTTGTTTAGTTGTGTTGGAATTGAGGAATACCAGGCTCCCGACATCGAGCGATATCATTGCCCTCAGTGTGCGTTGCTACATGGCCCGCTAACTCGTAAGTATCCCTATTTATTTTGTTTTCTACAGCTAAGAATATTTCTGAAATTGGGAGCTCTAAAGCTGCTGTTTATCGACTGTCTTGGGGTTCAAATTGACGCTAAAACTAAACCCGATCGAAGGTAAGGTCACCACGCGAATTACACAAAGCTGGAATTGAGTGCTACAAAGTAATTTTGATACAATTATCCATGAATGAAATTGACTTTTGGCTCGTTGTATGTCACGGAATGAATGAAGTTTTAGCTGGGAATTAACGTATCTCAGCAAAATTGCATAACTCTGCTCATTTTAGTTGTTGAGTACGTGCATATAAACACCTGTTTGATTGAATAACTCAATCAGAGCCGAACTAAGTTATCCCGCACGTTTTTGTTAACTCATTTCTTTGCCGAAGCCAACAGTTGTTTGGTCTCTCATCCCCTTAATTAATACGCTGTGAAAATGTTTGTCTTAATCTGGGTTCTTGAGTTCTTACATTTCTAAATGATTTGTTTTGAAACCTAAAGGCGAGTGTTGTTGTTGCGCTATGAAAGGATGCCGATAGCTCTTTGTACTGACACGATACACGATACTTCAATACCGTTGTACTCTTTCAAAACTCTGTTAATAACCAGTAATACTGTTTGATGCCTTCTCCTAGATATCAATCCAATAAGAGTGGTTGTGTGATGATGGTAAAGGCGGCTTAAAACAACGAAAGCTTTAAAAATCATTTTATATGTAGTATATATTTGATTTAAAGTTTAGAGACGTTAATTTTTCTTTATTATAATCTGCCCGATGTCCTTATACTGAGACTGTTATATATTTGTTCGGCCACATAAATAATTTGGGCTTGAGAAGAATGTTTTTGATTTGTTTTGTTGTCATTTATAGTGTACTATAGCTGTTTCAGTTGAATGATCCCCATAATTCAGGTCAAAAATGTAATATTCCGGAAAACAATGCAAACCATGTATTAAGACATGTTTAAATACAACGTCTTTGCCATGATTTATTCTAGGAATTGGCCAATAAATAAGGGTGTCATCCCTTTCTGAAATATTGTAGGGGGCCTTTACTCAATCACCCTTTCGCAATTTCAGAACAAAAAAGACAATCGCACTTCGCTCCTTTGTCTGTATCACTGTAAAGAGATTCATCAATGTTTCAAGCACCAGCCCGCCCTTTGCTTGTCAGAGATAATCAAGGGATTTTTGGTTGCATGTGGTTTACATATTGAACAGTGGATCTACTCTATTGGATGAGTGTACTCTACTGTATGTAGGGCCACAAATTAGACTCTTCTCTTAGTGATCTAGTTGGTTTTTATTGCTTGACAGCTAGGTAGGGTGAAGCATCTACATAAACCCCATTTACACGCGCTAAAAAAATCGGCACGGCAAGCCAAATTTTTGGCACTGTGCCTCGTTTACCCATGCCGAGACTACCTCCGGGAGGTAGTCTCGGCACCCCTAAAATTTTGAGCACTGGTGCCATATTACATTTGGGACCGATACATTTACACGTTGAAAACTGGGAGTGCCGTGCCTTAAAATCGTCAGCACGGTGCTAAAAATTTGGTGTGCCGTGCCGATTTTTTTAGTGCGTGCAAATGGGGTTTTAATCAACACTAGATCAGCGTTTGAATTTTGATCAGTCCTGGTTATGTTCTTAGGTTGTATTCTACCTGCTTAAAAGTTGATCATTGTTGCTGCAAAAAATCACATTCAGTACATTCACTAAATCTCAGGATTTTTGTCGATTAATTAATGTCAGCTTGGGTAATGTTTGTCAACAAATTGCCAAGCACTTATAAAAGTTTTTCTCAGAACTCCAATCAGAGAATTATTGCAGACTCCTTTAATCATTTTTTATTTGCAGTCAAAAAGCGGAGGAACTGGCATCGTCATGACTACAGTGAAATAGATGATGGATCAAAGGTAAGGATGACAATGAAATGGATGTTGGAATGGACAAACATTACCCTAAAATAATTCACTATCATTTTTGTCAGTTATTAACATCTTTATTGGATGTATGAACTCAAGATGTCAAGGACGACTATTTGCATGATGGTTCATTAGTTTCAAAAAAGATCATGGGTGCAGTAATTCAGCAGGGTTCCTACATGTCATGGAAAACCTGAAAAGTCATAGAATTTTTCAGGCCTAAAGAGTCATAGAATTTATGTGGAATTTAGTCACTGTACTGTCCAAGCAAAGAAAAATAGGACAAAGACAAAAGAGTTATTTCAAAAAATTAATACTCTAAAGCAATGATTAGTTTGAAACTTTTTGAAAGGAACAGCTTTAAACCTAGAGGTCTTGGAAAAAGTCATGGAAAGTCGTAGAATTCAAAGAGCTCAAAAAGAAAATGCCAGTAAGGTTACTTATTCAGATAATAGGCAAGTTCAGCAACGATTTTAGTCACCATACAGACAAATCACATTTTTTGATTTTATTATGGAACGAACTAATATTAAAACAGTTGCTGCCAAAGGAGTACAGTCAAACCTGTATTAAGCGGACCTCTACTAAGCAGTCACCCTCTATTAAGCTGTCACTTACCGAAGTCCCGGAAATCATTTCCCTTAATTACAGTAAAACTGACCTGCATTAAGCGGTTACTTGTATTAAGCGGTCGCAGTCACCTTTTCTGAGGTCCCAACGAATTATTTTTTATTGTCTTCACCTACTTTTGACAACCCTGGAAAACGTACCATACTAGTACAACAGGTCACACTGTGAATGGCATCAAATGGTCTTTAACCTTTTTCTTTTGGCCCAAGAAGAGGTAGAAACAGGTGGAGGTCAATTTGTCGTGTGATATATATTTCACTCTTTGACTACCTTCATTTTCTTGAAGAATTCTCACGTTTGTCAAACCTGTATTAAACGGTCATTTAACTATATTAAGCGGTCAGTAAGCCATTCCCAAAGGGTGACCACTTAATACAGGTGTGACTTTACTAAGATAACATTTAGAGTGGACGTTTGTGCCAAAGTATGTAAAAGTATAGTGGACTGGTGGTAATGATGTTTTCTACACTTCTGATTTTGTAGGCAGTTCAGACAGGGACTGTTGCATTTATCAAGGAACTGAAGATCAGGAAATTCAAGTAAGTGAGCTCATAAACCTCTCAGCCCTTTATTGTGTGTTAACATTGGATGCAAAGCATCAGCAAACTTTGAGCAAAGCCGGGTCACATTCTTGGTAAGAGGTGTCATCTCACCACTGTACCATCTTTTGTTTTCTTCCAATAAATGAGCACCTCAAAAGTAATATTTTTTTTCTGATTTAATGGTATTTGTGACTTGATTGTTAGAGAGGGAAACATTGTACAGAAGCTTGCAAATGGAAAAGAGCTTACTGTGGACACCTTTGAGAAAAATGGCTTCAATAGGCCAATACTCGTTGCAAAGAAAGAAGGTCTTGGAATGATCATACCAGACAGTAATTTCTCTGTCATGGATGTGGAGCAATGTGTTGGTATGTGTAATTTTATATGTGTACATGAAACACAAGTAATACCCCTTTGCATCTTATATTATAGTTTTGCAGTGCCAGTTGCTCTGACTGATATAATGACGAAACAAGGACTTTAACTTCTCAGCTGTTTAAAAACAATAATCTGTCGCACTCCTAAGAAAGTCTCCATTTGTTAACCCTACAACAAACTCACTCTGTACCCCTCTCTCCTCACTTAGATCTTCATGTTGATTAAGATCATGTTAATTATTTTCAAAAAATGAAGAAATAAATCTTAATTTGCAGGTCCCATGAGGGAGCTGGATGTGATCGATGTCTGCAGACAAGTAAGATTAACTATAACTTGTCCATTTTTTTAACAGATTGAGTGACAGTTTTTCAGCATTTAACCCTTTAAGTCCCAATATCCACAGACAAATTCTCCAAACTGATCTCTATACATTTCCTCTAAGAATTAGTTGAGAGAATTTGATAAAAGATCAAAGTATTTTCTCTTAGGTGATCATTTTTTTTAATTCTCATAACCTCATCTCATGACAATGTATGGATATCGTTAGGAGAAAATTGGTGTTGGTCACTATTGGGACTTAAAGGGTTAAAATCATTATTTACCTACCAATGTAAAAACAGGTGGCAGTTAAAATCAATTAATACACATGTGTGCTTTCTAATTTATTTGACAGGATGATCACCGTATGCGAATGAGAGAATGGACAGAATATTGCATGAATCCAGTAAAAAGAAAGATCCTGAATGTCATCAGTTTAGAGTTTTCTAACACCAGGTATGATCAGCATATATTGTAAGGCTCTACCAGGCCTTGTAATAGGGTGTGATTAAAAAATCAGAAATTTGTGGCTTTTCAGAGCAGATTGTGCAACAAATTATGGAAATTGTGCAATTTTTTAAGGGCTTAATTAAACTTGTTTTACCAAGTTTGAAATAAGAAAAATCCTTTAATGTTGTTTAATGGACAAACTTTGGGTGTAAAAACTAATATTATACGTGTAACATTGTTTTTAGAACAAAGTTGTTAGAGTTTGTCCTATTATCTTGATAGAAAAGAATAATGTGTGACTTCTGTGCAGATCTTAGCTGTTTGTCTTGTTTGCATTCATTAATAAATTTATCCTCAGGCATCAGCCTTAGTTTATCATTATATTTTCAGTGCATTAATGCTGTCCAATATTGACTTTTGTGATTACTACTTTGTTTTAGCATGTCACAGCTGGTTCATGCTCCAGCAATTGTGAGAGAAATAGATTGGGTCAATCATGTGTGGCCTGCAGATCTCCCAGAGGACAGGTGAGTTTGAGAGTTTGAGAAATCTCTTTCAAATGTAGTTTTGTCACTGTTACTTGTACATGTATGTAAACTATATAAATGTGTGCTGCTGTGAAGGGTACATGTAGATTACAAGCAGTTGTGTCTAGGATGGGGTTTAGAAATCAGTGGGTTTTGGTCTACAATAGTAGGAAATTGATGGTGTAGATGTTACAGGTCAAAATTATATTGGAAGTCACATATCGCTTTGAAGCTGGAGTTGTAAACATGAGGATTACTGTGCAATTTAAGTTTCGTAATTTCTTTGTTTTGTTGATGGCCATCTTGAAACATGGGAAACAGTATGTCTGTGCATTTGGTGGCAGCATCAAGTCATGGGAGGCTTAAAGAATGTAATCAAATATGAGCGCGTAAGGTTTTTTTTTTTTGGATTAAGCTGGCCATCTATCGATATCTAACTCGGAAATGAACCCTACAGCTCCAAAATTTTTTTAGAGTCATTAGATTTAAAAATTGATTGTGTGAACATCCAAGAAGTTTCCATTGTCAAATACTTAGGTGTCACTTTTGACTCAAACTTGACTTGGAAGAATCATGTTATATTGAACTCTGCTAAAAACTTTCGAAAACTGTAGACACATTTTCCAAATTAAGGTGCTATATTAATGTTGATATACTAATTACGCCTTACTATTCCATAATTTACCCCTTTCTAACTTATGATCTATTCAAGTTTGGGGTCTCACATACTCAACCTACCTAAAACCAGTGACTACTTTGCAAAAACGAGTTGTCAGAATAATGACTTTTTCAGAGCCATTGCTGAAGTCTCTCAGACTCCTAAAATTCTCTGATATAATTCATTTTAAAAATTTTTTTTGTATATCAGTGGTATCATAAATTAATCACAGAATGATAATCTGTTTGTTAAATCAGCTCATGCATGTACTACTCAATACGCCATTTTGTTACACTGGTACCAACCTTTGGAATTCTTTATCCATTGATGTCAAGAAAATCAAGCCATTTTCTAGTTTTCTTCAAAATATCAAGAATTCTGTGATTGATGGTTGTAAAAGTGTTATTAATTCCTGAAGTTTTATGATTATATTATCTTTAACTACTATGTGATCATTGAAGTAATACTTTTTATCTAAAACAACTATTTTGTCACTATATTCCTTCTACTCGTATTTTTGTTTTGGGTCATCTACTCAGTTAGTTCTGGAAACTATAGAGGTGTCTCAAACCCTGACTCTGCACAATGAACCGAAAATTGAAACATTTCTTTCCTTATTCACTATCTTTTATTTTTATATTTAAAGGCTCTGAATTGTATTAATATTCTGTGTGAGTTTAAATAAAAATTAACTTGACTTTTCGAGAAAGTGTGACAAATCAGTAACCAACTCATGAAAGCGTGAGATAGGTTGTAAAATCATGAGACTTGGCAAGTCTGTTTTAATCATTCTTTTCTTTCACAGTCTACACAAGAAGCCATTAGTCCAAAAGTACTGCTTGATGGGGGTAAAGAACTCATACACAGACTTTCATGTTGACTTTGGTGGAACATCTGTGTGGTATCATGTTCTTAAGGTTTGTGGTACTGTAAAATGAGCTTTGCTGTTCTATTTGACTATGCGACTCAAGATAGTTAAAGTGTTTATGAGCCACTGAACTTGGCAAATAAAATATTAGGTTTCAATCTAATCTAATAAATTAATTTTATTTTAGCATCGCAAAAGCTTACAACCTGAGGAAAATCCAAAGTTAGTGGGTTTCAGTGCACTGGAAAGGAATTAATTGAAGTAAATGTGTGGCTGACTTGAAGGAGAGCTAGTTGTTTTTATTAAAACAGCAAAGCCAAATATGGGATGACACGTACAGTACATGCTGCATACATTGTAACAAACAATTAATTAATGTTAAGTATCAAGTTTCATCAATGTCCATAGGGTGTAGAGAAAAGGATATGACATAAATTTGGTATAAAATATTATTAATATTCATGGTTTGTCTCACAGTGATTACAAAGTTTGGTCCATTTTTTTTTTTTCAGGGTGAGAAAGTGTTTTACTTCATAGAGCCAACAGAAGAAAACTTGACCCAGTATGAAAAATGGGTATCATCTGCCAGGCAGAGTGAGATGTTTTTTGGTGATATGGTCAAGAATTGTTACAGTTGTTCAGTTAAACCTGGCCAAACTCTCTTCATTCCTACAGGTACAGTTATGAACAGCACACTGAAAATTTTTCAGTGTCAATGTCATTAGCATCACATTTTGATGTTTATATTGTTCTTTCAATTTAGATTTTCTTAGACAGTACTTAAAATTCAGTAGCTTTTAAATCTTTTGCTCTTTAAAGGTATATTACATGCACGTAGTTGAGAGGTGTGCAGATGTTGTGTAGTACTGGTTACTACCCCTTGTAGAATCAGACACTATGTAGAATCTATGCAAATGCTATGTCACAAAGCTATGCAAAACCTATGTTAATCACTCATACATTGCTTTAACCAGATCCTATGTTGTTTCTATGCCAGGACTATGTTTTTTGTATCGAAAATGCTATGTTTTCGCTAGTCAAACGGAACCTACTTAAAAGCTATGCAGTTTTTAAAGGTAGGAATAAAGGACGAAATGACATAGTTTCCACATAGCCTATACATACAGTTTACTTAGCTTGTGGAAAGAGATTTTAGACTTCATAGTCAACCTCATAGAAAAATCATAGAAAATAAATAGCCTTCACATAGGACTGAAATAGAGTTTACATAGTAAAATGGAACAGGGAACAGTTGATTAAATAGCTTTTGAATAGGGTTTGCCTAGAATTTAGATAGCCTAGAAATAGAAAAAACATATGAAAAACATAGCCTTTTTAAAGGTGACATATACTTTGCATAGCATTAAAATAGGGAAAACACAGAACAAATAGTCTTTGCATAGGTTTGAAATAGGATTTTAATAGTATTTGAATAGGTAAAACATATCACATACACAAGCTTTAACTAGAGTTCAAACAGAAATTACATAGAATTGACATAGTCTCTTATGTATGTAGGTTTCGATCTGCTTAAGCAAATGTAGTGTTTAAAATACGTTCGTAAAAATCACCAAAATAGTAAAAATAGTATAAAATATGAATTAGAATACCTTTTACATTGGTAAGAAATAGGTTTTGAAACGAAAAATTGAAAAACTATGGCAATATAATACCACGAACACTAATAGTAACACAAATGCAGTATTTTCATGGAGGTTTCAGAATCGAAACCCTAAGTTTAAGTTTGCTTATCGTGTAGACTTTTTGCTGATGTCGTGCTCTTCAGTGCCATACAGTTTCCTTTTGACTGCAACGAATAAGTATCTGCAAACAGAAAAGTGGAGATTTTAAGGCAAATGAACCTAAAAACAACCTGACGTTTTAGAATTGAAACGAAGGAGTATCAAAGCGTGATCGACCGATCCTTGTTCAGATACGCGAAAAGGGGAGACAACACAGGCAAATCGAAACTTAATTGAGAAAAACATCACTTACCACCGATAGGAATACTTTTTGTTGAACCTGGCAGGAAAAAGACTGTAAATTGAAGTAAAAAGAAGCGTCTTCTCGTAAAAACGCACGCTTACAGCTCGTCTTCTTTGACTTGAAAGCGCCCGCGTCGAAACAGACAATTTTCACACCTTTTCATTGGTTGAAAAGGCCCACGTGACGATAAAACGCAAAATACGCATGTGTTGAACTCACGGGCTTCCCTGGGAACTAGTGGAAACAAAATGGCTGACAAACATCCACCGAGGCAGGTAGCGTTTCGCAGTTTTGACCATGCAGTTATATTCAGGAGACGTCCACAATCAAGACCAAGGATCGAACCCAATGTAAAAGAAGAAAATGATGCATGGAAGTATCATTTCAAGTGAAGAACTCTAGAGAAAAGCTAGAAAGGAAAGTTAAGACAGGGATGATGGATGTAGCGATTCAATGCTTAACAAAAGTCTTCTCACTAAGAAACTATCTGGAAGCACAAAAAAAAATTATAGTACATGATTTTTCAGTGTTATAGTTTAAAACACTGCCTTTTACTTTGGAAGTATGCTTAGCCTTCTGTAAGCGCTACCATCAACATGCCTAGTCACTTAAAAGCTATGTTGGAATATCACATAGGAAACGCATAGACTACATATATTTTTCATATGAGTGACATAGGAAAAAATATGTTTATGTGAAAGCTATGTAGCCTTTATCTCATGATAAAGCTAAATGAAAATGTCACATAGTGAATACATAGGCTGCAAATATGTTTCATCACATAGCATAGAATATACATAGCACTATGTAAAAGCTAAGAAACTTGTTGGAAATAAAAGTGAAGATCGAAATGCTATGTAAAAGCTATTTTACTTTGATGCATAGTGAATACATAGGATGCTAATCAGAAGGAAAAGCAGAACTTTCTATTGCATAGTAAATACATAGCTATGTCAAGACTATGAAAAGATTTTGAATAGTATTTGCATAGGTATTCAAAAGCTATGTGCTTTTCAAATAGCCTAAACATAGTTTCAACATAGATTTTGCATACTTTGGACTATGTTGTTTGGTGTGTTACATAGTTAATACATAGGCAGTAGTGAACATAACATAGCTGAAACATAGTCCAACATAGTAAAAAAATAGCATGAGCATAGGTTTTGCATATGTCTGGTTCTACAAGGGTACCTGTGCTTCTTATTTCAAGTTAATGTGCCAAGATACCCAATGGATTTACCAAGCAGTCATACTTTTTTAATGTTTGTTATTTATCTAGGATGGATCCATGCTGTTTTTACTCCTGTTGACTCACTTGTGTTTGGTGGAAACTTTCTCTGTACTTACAACGTTGAACTTCAGCTAAGGTTTGTCAAAAACACTGTGGAATTTGCTTATCCTGATATGTTTATGTTCCTTTGTGACATCCAGGAACTTGTGAAAAGAAATTGTGTTCTAAATAAATCAGTTGTAATTGGAATTAGATCATGGCACATATTGTCAGATAGTTTTAAAAGATGAGTAAGAAAAGCTCAATCATGAGCACCACTCTTTTTTAGGGTGTATAAACTGGAGAGACAGCTCAAGACCCCTGACAAGTTCCTTCACCCTTGTTTTGAAACAATTAATTGGTACGCAGCTGTTTATCTCTTGGACAGACTCAAAGGTGAGAAATCTAAATACCTGTGGGGATTATTTAGTTATTGCTAAAAAGTGAGCACTGAACTTCTGAAAGCTGGTGTTTCTGTGGAGGCTAAAGAACTAAATATCTTTAGGTAGTAGTACACATAGACCTAGCTACCTGCTCATGCTATAAATATTCTCCTTTTTTGGCCAGTTTCTCTGTCTTCTTTCACTCAAACCCCAATGAGCGTGGCAAATGCCAAGACTGAAAAAGCTAACTCCTTATTTTTTAGAAGAAAACAGTGATTGTTGAAAATTGCTGTAGCAAATTGTGATTTCCACTGCTGATACTCCTCTGTTTTACTGTGATCTGTATCTCTCTTCTGTTGTCTTTTCAAAATCCCTGGAAGGCAGACATTATTTTAAATGCCTTCTCTCTAAGTTCGTTTATCAGGGTAACCCACATTTCAATGATCACACCATAGGAATTCATCCACACCCTCGAAAGCCAACATTACATTTCTCCATAACTGAGTGTTTCTCTCTGTCTGTTTCAGATTGTCATGAATCTGGGCGGAAGCCATCGGAGAGCTTGGTGAAAGGCTTAAATGTTTTGTCCATAGCACTCAAGGTGTGGAGCTCTAAAGGAGAAGTAAGTACAAGATGATGGGTGACCTGTGTCATCCCAACATTACTGCAAATACATGTATGATCCTCAGATTCTCTTCAGTTTCTTTAGTATTATGGGCTGTTAATAATAGCCAGGACTCTGACCCCTGACTATTATAACAATGCAGATCTCCGGCTATTTTCAAAGGAAGCAAAAGGAAACCAAGAGAGAACCAAGAGAACTTCCCAGCTATTCATTGATTATATAGCTTAACTAACTTGAAATTTTAGTTATTAAGTATTGTGCAGGGTTCGCACAGTTGTGAAAAGTCCTTAAATTTCTGTGCAAGTCCTTGAAAAGTTCTTGAATTTTCTTCAACTTTGAATACAGTGGCCTGGAAAGTGTTTCTTAATACTTTTTGTAAATCACAGCTCAGAGAAGTTAATGGTGATTTGCACACAGTGTTTTTTTTTAGTTGTTGTTTTATGTAATAGTTAACTATCAATTTAAGACAAGTGAACTGAAAAATGGAGAGAAGTTGGTGGAGCAAAGAGTTCAAGCCTTAAAGTCCTGTTAGAATGGACTGGGAATGTGCATTTTTGTACAATCTTTGAAATTACATTCCTGGAAATCAAATGTGGTCCTTGAAAAGTCCTCGAAAAGTCCTTGAAAAATAGTTGCAATTTTAAGTATGAACCCTGTTTTGTTCTTTCTTTTGTAATCTCTACAGGAGTACACAAAGCTTCACAAATTTTTTATTCCTGATAATATATCTCCAAGCAAGTTGATCAAATCCATCGCCAAAGAACTGAAAAAGACTGAGGTCAGTTGTAGAAACTGTAGTTTATGTCACAATTCTCTTTCCTTATTTGGTAATTGTGAAGGAAACTCCCCACAACAACAGCCAGCCAACTTTCAGCCGCTGGTTTACCAACGTTTTGTCTTATTTTGTTACATTTTTTGTTAGCATTTAACCTACAAAATCGATTTTTTTTAACTTGAATTTAATTTTAATTTTCTAAGTACTATCATGTTGTTATTTCTTACTAGAGCTGTGCTTCCCTGATAATTGATAAAAGTTTTGCATGTGGTGCAGTTTAAGGGGTTGCATTCTTTTGTTACATGACAGCTGTAGTTTCTTTTTACAGTATTTTTTTTGGCATTGTAGATCTTTTAATGGCCATGATGTCATAATAAAAAAGAATGAACTCAACAATAAATTATACTCATACGAAGTGGTTGTTTCAAACCACAGCAGTGAATCAGTGTATCCTCTAGAGTTTAGTTACATTTTTTTTGTTTCTTATTTAGCTGTTAATTTTGAATAATATTTCACACGTCATTAATTCGCATTATCTCTTTTGCATTATTTATTTTTTCTTTGGTAGAAATCAGGCAGAGGTTCGAGGCCAACAACTCCAAAAATTGATGAAAACAATCAGAGACAAAATGGGAGCCCTGTGCCATCTAGTTTTGTTGATGGGGGTATACCACGCTTAAAAATCAAGCCACCAAAGCCTGATAATTACAATGCATACAGCCCTAAAAACGCTGGAGAACATTTGAAATGTGAACTTGATGACAGTAAACCTGTGATAAGAATTGCTAATGCAGGGATAGATCAAAAACGAAAAGCAGACATGCTATCCTCCAGTCTTCCATCACTCAAGCTAAAGATTCCCAGAACACAAGAGCCCCAGGGGACTGGTGCCCAGTTGAGTAAAGGGAAGTTACAGCTGAGTGCATCAGCGGATTCCAGTCTTAAACTTGTTGTCTCAAATGGAAAGATTGTCAGGTAAGTTTGACAGTTCATATGGTGTTTGGTTTAAAATCAAGACATTACAGTGAATGATCTAATAGACGGCCTCTCTCTCAAGTAAACGCCTCTTGTCAATTAGACGCCCCTCTCTAAAAACGCCCCCCCCCCCCCCATCAAACTTACACAAAAATACTAGGAATCAGCAAAAAGGGTCAAAATCATTAGGGTTTGCGCATTTCATTTTGTTTAAGGTCAAGTTTAAAGTAGGGATCGATTAACGAGGATTCTGAGGTCGAAGTTGAGATATGCATCTCTATCGGCCTAGACTGGATATTACGCTAATTTAATAGTTCTCTTCACATTTTCGCTGAAAGTAAGATTGTTGCAAAGATGAAAATTAACGCCTCTCCCCTTAGATGCTTCCTATCTATTCAGCACCCTCTCGTTTTAGAAATATGTCATTGAGAATGTTGAAAATACCATTTCCAAGCCGTCTACATTTCAAAACTTCCTGGGAGGGGATGCCCCCAGACCCCCCAAAAAAAAAACAAAGCCACCCTGTTGAAATTGCGCTCAGCCGTCCCTGAATATATCACTGTCCAGTGGATAACGTAATTGGTTTCCTTAATGCTTATCCATTGAATAGTGATTTATCCGGTGGAAAATGCTATCTAGCAGAGCCAGATAAATCACTATCCAGCGGATAAGTATTAAAGAACCATTACCAATTGCGGTAGCCAACGGATAGAGATTTTTCCAGTGGATAGTGTCATCCACTTTTCAACAACTGGGGCCAGTTTGCTCTTAACGAGATTGCCCATCACACAAGCTTTCGATTCGGAAACCTCGTTTTATGTAAATTGGACAACCTGTTACGTAGTTTGTCGATAGTGGACTTTTTTAATGGCTTGTTTATTCAACTTGACCGATTAAAATGGAGTGGATAGCCATTGGTTGTCGTGCGAAACTGTCCACAGTGAATTTCCTCGTGATTAACCGAAACTATGTTCCGTTTAACAAAAGAAACTCAACCGTTTCGCTTGTTCGTGTTTTCTTGGCAGCAACAACAATCGTAGCAGCAGAAAGATTACTGGGAAGAAGTTCCAGCCACTCATGCAGCAAGATGTAGCAGAAGAAAGCAGTGATGTTACAGATGGTTCCTACACCTGCTCACCGTCCAAACAAGGACCTCTGCGGCTTAAATTATCAAGTACGTCGTATTTAACTAGTGCATTGAGTGTACTTCTTCCCACCCATAATTCAAATTAAGCTTTAATAGTTGATGTGACTGCTTTTTCCTATTCGGGATGCTGGTTCATTGCAGGCTCACCCCCAGCAGTATGTCGTTGGTTGGCATGCGTGGCAGGCGTTTGAGGAGGAAGGGAAGGGGAAGGGATTTCGAAATAAAGGCGCTTGGTAACGAGACGGTAAAGCTTGATCCACGCCTCCACAAATTGGGTATTGGTAAAAAATACTTTCCTATTCTGACACTCTGGTCTTTCCTTTTCAGTGAACAGCAGTGCGTCAAACAAAAACGCCCCTTTCTTTCCGTCAAACTCAGCAGAGAGTAACAGCGATACATCGGACAATGAACTTGACTTTAGTTTCGAAGGAACGCCAAGTCTCATTCCCATGCAATCGAGAACGACACAAGGAAGCATGGGGACGACTTATGGTCTCCAGACCACGGGGTCAGTCTCTCGCACTCAGCAACCCATGGCCGAGTTCGACTGGACCTCATCAGCTGACCTTAAGTAAGAAAATTGCTTCAATTTGTTCAAACTTATCTCAAGCTATACTTTACATGCCATTTGCATAAACGTTCAATTTAGTTTTCCTGTGTATTTCGCGTGATAATTATCATTAACGCCTGGGTCGCAAATGGAGGTGAGTTTCCCAAGGGGTCCCGGGGACTCCAAACGCAATTACACTCCAAGGTGTTAGAACACCCGACTGGCCCGCCCAAAACGGCACCCCAGTCACGAACCCCCTGCGCCAAGTCTCTCCCCGCCTTTACCACGTCAACATCCCACTTGAGCCCGAGATAAGAGAAAAAGGGAGGGAGGGGGCATGTTGAACCTGAACAAGCCATAAAGAGACAGAACGCCACGCTATCGCAATAACAGAACTCTGAACTCACGGCAGTGAGTCATGTGAGGTGGGAAAGTGGATGCCCTTACCTGGGATCTCAGTGCCCCACCACCACGCAAACGCTACGAGCGCTACAATACGCTAGAAATGTCGGCCAAAGACACACAAAACGCCTCTAACAAGACCATTGCATCTTGGCTTTAACTATGTTTTAACTGTATTTAAAAATTTCAGGGAAGAAATCGAAGCAGCAAAGACTCTTTTGTTTGGATTAAGTGCCGGAGCTGGCGTCAGTGCGCTTAGCGGTTCATCTTTTCAGTCTATTCCCAGTGCCTCTCTTAAAATGACCAGTGCCCAGTCCTCTCAGCCACCTGTTATACCCAACACCTCTCGGCTTAACTCGAAACGAGCAGGGAGCGAAAGTGATTCTAATAGCGAGGATGATGATTTAGGATTCGGAGAATCAAACTACTTTCACGACAACAAATACGGTAAGAAACTTTCGTCCAAGAGCAGTTTTAGTCTTTTTTTGAGAAAGCAGAGCGATAGTCCTTAAGTGAAATGATAAACAAGCAGCAAGGCCTAGCATCCCAGGCAGACCCTCTTAGGGCTTGGATTCCGTGACCAGCCAAAAGAAAGTCTGTCTGGGAGGCTAAGCAAGACCGCGAACTGCGAGAATCGCGGCGTTCTTTCTTCATTCCCTCCTCGTTCTTTACTGCATATTTGCGTAATTATAAATAAATGATCTAAGTCGATAAGAGCGATTACTCCCCGTCTAGAAACTGTAAAGTTTAGCCTGAACTATGGGCTGTGGGAATTATAATGGATAATGTAAGTACGTTTTTCTACCTTGTAGGTTTTTCTAATTTGGTAGGATCGTATAGCACGCAACATCTGTGAACATCTGTAGACTAGAGGGAAACTTAAAGGGGCGTTTGCGATTGTGAGTTTTTGTTTAAGGAATTGTTTCCTTTCTTGTAGTTTACCCACCTCTTGCTGAGATGGCGGATGACGACAAAAGTAGTGGCTGGAAACCCGGTCAACGAAAGAAAAAAAGCGAAAAAGTCGACTCCACATGGAATCCAAAAAGTAAGAAAATTTAAAGCTATTGCAGTGATTATCGTGTGTCCTATTCGCGCTCACACCGTCTGTTTTTGGAGGCAGCTTCTTCGCAGAAAGTAGTTTCCTTTGATAAAAAAGGTATAATAATTGCTCTGCCTACGATGGTGTACCTGCGTGACAACCTGATCATCATGTCCAATCTTCACATATTCATTTATTAGGTAAGCTTCATTGCTCACCCAAAGAAGCAAGGCCTGTTCGCCAATCTGCGAGACGTAACACCGCTGGCAGTCTTCTGAACTCTCCACTGGAAGAGAGTGCGCCCACGGTAAGTGACTATACATGCGTTTTGGAGTTGGTGAAGTGATGGCGTCTTCAATTTAGGTGCACTTCAAATAATTCCCTCCAAAAGACGCTATGCTGACTGAACCTGTTTAATACAGTCATGTCCAATACACTCAACTAGATTCCAGTGAACAAAAACTAGAGTCCACTGGAGTAACTAGAAGTCTGGTCGTGAAATGAAACCGGAAGTACAATTTAGCCTTGTGAAGCGTTGAAAGTCACTCGTACAGTCGCCTGGCGTTACCCTAGTCGTAAGATGAAACCGGAAGTATAAACAATTTAACCTCGAGGAGGGTAGAAAAGTCATCCAGTGGAGTCCATTAGATCCAACGAGACGCACTGATTCCAGTGAAAGAATCGGAAGTCTAGTCTTGAGATGAAACCAGAAATCTAAACATTTTAATGTCGGGGAGGCTAGAATGGTCGAGACAAAGTTACCGAAAACTCATTGTTAAAGCACTTTCTACCCCCTCATGCGACATGATTGGAATTTTCCAAAGTCTTTCATAAATAGAAAATGTACATTTCCAGTGGAGTCTATTCGTGTCCACTGGATCCCCAACCCTAGGTAGGACATTCCTCTTTTTCACCACTAGACTTCTGGTTTTCTAGAGGAGGGCAAGAGGTTTCGACTATAGCCTGGTTGACAGTAATGGACAACCCTCGTTTAATATACCTAAATTTACAGAAGGAAGAAATTAAAGGACAGTCTCTACCATCGTATAGGTACTATTATCTTTCAGAATTTTTGTCCCCAGTTTTGGGATCTCGTCGAAGGGTCTTTAAGTCACGTGGCCACATAATTTAGAAACCTGAGCGAAAGTGGTTAGACTTTATGACCATCTGTCTTACCAAGATTGTCATGGTATACTTTCTCATCCACAGGATATACCAGCTTCCGGCGGAAGTTTAGAAGGTCGTGACCGAGATAACGCAAGTGAAAGTAACGCAACGTTGCTACACGGAAGTGAACAAAGTTCATCATCGAATACGACACCCAATGTTTCAAAACCCAGTGACAATGTAAAAGGTAGGGTTTGTTGATGTAATTAGTTAGTCTTTGTTTATTGGCCATAAACTCGTTCAGTGCTTGTCACGCAAAATGGAAAAGCGACAGTGACTTTTTTTGTCAAGCGCTCTTGTAAAGTAAATATTTGCGTGCCGTCTGGTAGGTCGATGTTATTTTGTTCCCACCAGACACGGTAGGTCGGACTCGTTATGAAGCCTTTATGAAACATCTTTCCCTTTGTTTCCTAACCCTAATCACTGAACTTTATTGAAAGGCAATGCCACATTCTGTAGGCCACATAAGGTGTCTAATCTGCCTCAGATCGATCGATGTTACTTTGACTTTACCGTCTTACTAAACCACAGTCCCGGGCTAGGCATAAAGATACCGTAAGATTCCGAAAATAAGCCTCTCTAAATATAAGCCCCGTAAACCTGTAACGTAAAAACCCCTCCGTTAAATCGCCCCTCCGAATATAAGCTCCTCGGGGGGCTTGTACTTGGAAATTGCCCTCGAATACAAAGTAAAGCAAAGCAAAAACGGTAAATTTCCTTCCAACTATAAGGCTAGCCCAATCGATTTTGAAACGCACATTTCCCTCTGTACATAAGCCCCTCAAAAAATAAGCCCCTCAAAAAGGGCCCTTGAAAAATATAAGACCCGGGGATTATTTTCGGAATCTAACGGTCGTGTTACAAATTGTTGAAACTTTGCCTTGACATAGTTTGTATCTTATCCACAGTTCAGTCCAAACGAGGAAGACACAAAGCTGTCACAACAACGAAACAACGTCTTGCAAAAATCCTGAAATTAGATAAGAGTGGCAGGTACATGAGATGAGTAAACCAAGCAGCACATTGCCGCCAAGGATTCAGATCAGATAGTAATATAAGTCAATTGCGTTTTCTTCAAAGTGAAATAGTTTTACAATTTGTTGTCAATCGTCAAATTGAAACAACTGAAAAATGAACAACACTTCTGAGGTTGCATTTGAATAATTTGGTTCATCTCATCTCGCCCTAATGTTATAACCATGTTGTAATTTATAATAATTTTTTCCAATGGAGGGTATCACTTTTAGTCACATTTAAGGATTTCATCCACAGAATCAAATAATTATGTGTCGCATTCTGATACACTGATGAGAATTGCTCAGAAAAATCTAAATAACTGAACCACTGCGATTTTCTTCTGTTTAAATAGCTATTTTGTCAGGTTTATTGTATAAAGAAACTATTCGTATTATTAATGTCTTTTATTAACATCAATAATAATTTACACAATTGTTTGACCCGTATATTTTATAATTTATTTGGCCGCTTTTGAGAACTCTCTGTTAGGCTCAAGAAAATTATTACAGAAACCAATAACCTCTTTAATAACTTTTGTCCTCATATTTCACTGAACGCAATGGACTTGCAATACCTTTTCGCTCAATTTACTTTGTGTCCTTGATGGGACTCACAGAGAAAGCGGGAGAAAATAACCTTGGAGAGGGCGAGGTTGCTACTTGCCATATGGGGAACAAAGTCGTGGTACAAGGCGGTGCATGGATACTTAGAATCTTAAGGGTCAGAGCAACAATTATGGCTGTACAATTCAATATTTTATTACACTGGAAGGGAATACTTGCTGCAGGTTTTTAGGTGTAGCCACCTACGTATATTTGAATCTGAGTGTGAAAGCGTGAGGACTATCGCAAATGGGGAATTGGGTGCTGTGTGTCTATAATACTGTAGAAATGCAGAAAAAAAAACAAAGAGAAAAAGAAATAATTTTTTTGAAAAAGATAGTGAGGAAAATGAAGTATTTAATTTATTTATGGTATATTTATAATTATAAATGTACGCGTGATGGCTTGCCAACTTTGCTTATCCAAATGTGTTTTCAGCTTCAGTATTACTAGTTTGAATAAAGCGATTTTTTTATGAAGTACTTTCTTCCTTATTTCTCTTACATATCATCAGATGAAACACCGAGAAGAGAGTTGAAAATACGACGCATAGCGGAGTATTGTTGACGAACTTCGAGGTGCTTCTTCTGGTAATGAAAAAGAGGCAAATGCTTGATATTACTTCTCAAAAAAATTATATTATTGGGAGAAATTAAAGATACAAAAATGAGCAGTTTTTCATCTGATTTCCAAACACTCATTAAACATTAATTTCGTAAGGCAACACGCAAAGTTTGACATGAGTAGCTAGGGCGTGTTTTCGCGCGCGTACTATCCACGTTTCCTGCGCGTAACCGCAGTAATTCCGCGTTTTGCCGTGCAAAGGAAGGCAACAGGACGTCACGTGGTAATCAGGGGGGTATTTGACGTTCCAATTCTGAAATAGATGTGGGCTACCTGTGTAACGAAACGAAATTAATGGTGGGGTTAGTATTGACATTAACTAACAAGCTACCTTGCGAGCAGAGGTTTCTCTGTTGCATGGCCTTAAGCGTTTACGAAGTCACTCGCGTGGCTTTTCTGTCACGTAGTTGGTTTGTTTTCTCCCCTTGCTGCAGAGGTTTCTCACGGGAAGTAAACAAACCAACTACGCGACTAAGAAGCCACGCGAATGACTTGGTAAACGCTAAATACCATGCAAGAGAGAAACCTATGCTCGCAGGGTACTAACAAGCACATGATGAATGCATAAAGGTGTGACTGTGGTACTAGCCATGTGACTTGCTATTTCCTCCATAGTTATGCAAGTTAGTTTTTAGTTCCACTAGCTGTACTGTAGCCCACTGAGAACAAGTTTGTGATACGCCATTCTTTACCTTATGAGTATCTTTTCCCCGACGAACACTTTTTTAGCAAGTCTTAATCCGAAACTGAGACGGTTAGTAATAGATTAAAAAATCTCAGAAATAATTCATTTTGTTTCGCTTCATACGGTGGCTCGTAAGGACAACACACTTCCCAGATTCCAAAACACTTCCTAGAATCCAAAAACACTTCCAGAATCCAAAAACACTTCCCAGAATCTAAAACACTTCCCAGAATCCAAAAACAGTTCCCAGATTCCAAAACACTTTCCAGAATCCAAAACACTTCCTAGAATCCAAAAACACTTCCCAGAATCCAAAACACTTCCCAGAATCCAAAAACACTTCCTAGAATCCAAAAACAGTTCCCAGATTCCAAAACACTTCCCAGAATCCAAAACACTTCCTAGAATCTAAAAACACTTCCCAAAATCCAAAAAACACTTCCCAGAATCCAAAAACACTTCCCAGAATCCAAAAACACTTCCCGGAATCCAAAACACTTCCCAGAATCCAAAAACACTTCCCAGAATCCAAAACACTTCCCAGAATCCAAAAACACTTCCTAGAATCCAAAAACAGTTCCCAGATTCCAAAACACTTTCCAGAATCCAAAACACTTCCTAGAATCCAAAAACACTTCCCAGAATCCAAAACACTTCCCAGAATCCAAAAACACTTCCTAGAATCCAAAAACACTTCCCAGATTCCAAAACACTTCCCAGAATCCAAAACACTTCCTAGAATCCAAAAACACTTCCCAGAATCCAAAAACACTTCCCGAAATCCAAAAGCACTTCCCAGAATCCAAAAGCACTTCCCAGAATCCAAAAGCACTTCCCAGAATCCAAAAACACTTCCCAGAATCCAAAAACACTTCCCGGAATCCAAAACACTTCCCAGAATCCAAAAACAATTCCCAGAATCCAAATACACTTCCCAGAATCAAAAAAAACTTCCCAGAATCAAAAAACACTTCCCGGAATCCAAACACTTCCCAGAATTCAAAAACACTTTCCAGAATCCAGATTCTGGGATGTGTTTGGATTCTGGGAAGTGTTTTGGAATCTGGGAAGTGTTTTGTCCTTATGAGCCACCGTAGTTTCAAGTTAGTATAGCTGGGCGAGTCAGCTCCTCGATCATACTTGTAAATAGCCACTGACTAGTTTGCCTCCTACCATTTGGGATTTTAGACCTTGTCATGTTACATTCGAGTAATTTGTTTGTCATTTGCTCAGCCTGTTATCCTTTGTGTTATAACAAATTCCGAGGGTTGAGGCAAAGATTTTCGTTTTATACCTCTTTCTTCTCAAATTTCGATGTGTGAAACCAAACATAAAACTTAAATGTACTGACCGGTATACATATTTCATACTTTTTTACCGCATACTAACAAACCTGCGAGCAAGCTCTCCGGGGCGCTCTGGCGGCGGGGCGGGAAAGGGAAGGAGAGCTTGCAACTACGTCTCTGGAATTTGAATTCCATCCACCTCCAATTCCCCTGTGGCTCCCGGTCGAATGAGCTGTCAGATTTTCGCCAATCAGCGCGAAGCGGAAACGACCGAATTGAAAAACGCGTAACAAGGGTAATGACGTCATTGCTTTTGCCATCTGCGCGAATCAGCATTTCGCGTCTACTTTTTCGATGCAGATTTTAAAGTTCCACAGACGTAGTTGCAAGCTCTCCTTCCTTTTCCCGCCCCGCCGCCAGAGGGCCCCGGATAGCTTGCTCGCAGGCTACATACTAACTTACATGTCAGTCAGTGCATCTCCTTGTTCCCAATGAGGTCCAGTGTGACGTCATCGCCAATAAGAACAAATGGAGCCCAATATTTTACCTCGTGGAACTCATCCGATTCCCTCATACATCTCATGGCACGATTTAAAGCTTCACTTGCACTCCTTTGCTGCATTAGGTGGTGGTAGAAACTTTCCATAAACTTAAGAGTGGCTTCATCATCGACGGCCCATAGTGAAACCAGAACAGAACGGGCACCGGCACCAAGAAATGCGCGTGCAATGACAACCACACCCTCAGCTTTGATCTCTCCACGACCACTGTGACAGCAACTAAGCACGACTAGCCTCGCTCGAATATCAGCGTTCAAAACTTCCTTCATCGTTAAGAGGTAATCTTCTTCTGCAGGTACCTGGGATGCCCGTGTCGGATTCGGAGCCAAGGCAATTTCGCCAGTTTCCATTCGTCCATGTGCTGCAATGTGCACTAAAGCAACCGTAGAAAGCTGCTTCAGCACTTCTTCTTTGGTCGCCCTTATTCCAGTGAGAGGTTCAGTGTTGAGTATTCGCCCAATCATCTCTACTTCTTCTCTGGCGTATGGCAGTTGTTGCAGATTACGTCCATGGTAGACAACGTCTTGAACCCAGGGATCTCCGATAAGCAACGCCCCACGGTTATTGTGATAATCTGCAGGACAATCTTCGATCATTGCCAAACTGGACAATGAGGGTATTACTCTGATTCTGAACGACTCGCACAGATAATTTTTATTCAAGTCCAACAATGCGGGAAAAGGAGCCAAGCACAGAGGACCGTTTGGAACAAACACAATTTCTTTACATTGTAACATGTCTGCAATGGGGCAAATGACGATGATACAGTGCGTTTAGCGCGCCTCTCTGAAGTTGTAGAGAACAGGGTTTAATCTCCTCAGAAGTCGCCTCAGTTAATCTCTGTTCTCTGACGTTATCTAAAGAGCGATCCTCGCACTCTGTATTTCTTATATCAATTTCTTCACATCAAGCTGGATTAAGGTCTCCAGGAAAATGATTGTATTTCTCTGCGTACTGCTTCCGTAATAATCGCTTTTTTTCTTGTGCGCCTTCACTTCTCCATTTTGAATTACACAGAAAGTAATATCTTCTAAGTCGACTTCCATAAAAATTATGTTTGAACGCAAGTGAGCCAGACGTGTTTCTTCACATTTTTCCTCCGTTGAAGGTGTACCAGCCTCAGTTTCACTGCAATTGTACTTAAATCTCAGAAGATCTTTTAAAGCCTGAGCACGTGCTGCCTCAGCGATGGACAGAGCCTCAATCACCTTGCCTTGCTTTAACAACAGGCGGGATAAAGATCTGTAAGGACTACTGTGAGCGTGACTGAAGCTAACTTTGCACTCATCGTTAAAATGTAGACGATTCCTTAGATTGCTCAATTTTCTCAAACTGGATCAAAAACAATCAATAGCTTCACAATATGAGCCCGCAATTCCAAACTACGGCCAAGGCAGTGAAGTGCCTTTGATTTCAAGCTATCATCACCAAGTTCCTTGGAGAAGCTTAGAGCGCGTTGGGCGTAGTCAATGGCTTTTACACTATCCCCGAGGCTCTGGTAAGTGCTACTTAGATTATTATATCCAGTTCCCTCCACTTCTGTGCTCCAGTTCCTTTGCAATATTTATCGAAAGTTTATGACACTCTATGGATTTCTGGAAATTTCCCAGCATCTCGTAGGCCATACCCTGATTTCCGTAAGCAATCCCTCTCTAACTGTGAGTCCCAGCTTCTTAGCAATGTGTAGTTGACTTGTGAAGAAGCTGAGAGCTTTAACGAAATCTTGCATTTTGAAGTAAACGCAGCCGATTTCTCCAAGGGCAATCCCCTCCCCAAAGATGTCTTGCGTTTCTCTGGCTATTTCTAAACTGTTTGCAAGACAATCTAAGGCTTTGTTAAGATCTCCAAGCAACAGATAAGTTTGTCCAAGACTTAGATACGCGGATTGTTGTCTAGATTTTTTGACTAGTTCCTTACAGATTTTGAAGCAACGTTCGTGCTTTTCGATGGCGTCTTTCAAATCCGCTAAATGCCAATACACCTCACCAAGACCTCTACAAGCATATTCTTCTGCATGCTTGTCTCCCATTTCTTCAGCAATTTTCATTTGGTACTCTAAGTATTCTAAAGCTTTGTTATAGTTTCCGAGCCCCACTTCACAACGTCCCAGTCCGCCATATACGCTTCCTTCTGCTGCCCTGTCACCTGACTTTTTAGCAAAGGTAAGCTTAAGTTCATAATAGTCCAGGGCTGTTTTGTATTTCCCTGTATAAAGGTTAGCATTTCCGAGGTTACCATAAAGCTCTCCTGACCAAATGGCTCCTATTTCTTTCACAATCTTCAGAGATATTTCACTATACTCTTCGGCTCTTTCTACATTTCCAAGATGGGAATAGGCATAGCAGAGATTAGTGCACGCCACTCCTTCCCCATCCCTGTTACCCACGCTTTTTGCAAATTTGAATTGCAATTCATACAGTTCTACAGACCTTTTAACATCTCCGAGACTGCTAAAGGCGTTACCAAGATTTCCATATGCGCGTCCTTCTTCAAGCTCGTTTCCTACTTCCTTTGAAATGTGCAAGTGGAGTTCGTGGTAAGTAATAGCTTCTTCCAGATTGCCTAGCTTAAAATGGTCGTTCCGAGATAAGAGTAGGTCTTTCCTTCAGCAGCTCGGCTCTCCATTTGCTTGGCAACGTCAAGGAAGAGTTCGTGGAATAGAATAGCCTTGTCGTAGTTACCAATCTTGAAATAGGCGTGTCCTAGATCTTCATATGCAATTCCTTCTTCAACCTTGTATCCCAGTTCTTTGGAAGCCTTAAGGTGCAGTTCGTGGAAAACAATAGCCTTTTTGAAATCCCCAATATGCTGATGGGCTTTGCCGAGATAATTATAAATGTAACCCGCAGCATTATCCGTGATTCCTGCTTCCTTGGCGACCACAAGATGAAGCTCATAGTAGGCAATAGCTGTTACAAAATCTTTAAGGTTGTAATGGGCACTACCTAGGTTAGCATAGGCGATTGCTTCTTGAAACCGGTCTCCCCTATCTTTCACTATCTTTAGATAGAGCTGCAAATAGGCAACAGCTCTTTTAAAATCACCAACTTCATGATATGCGTTGCCGAGATTGCGATACGCACTTACAATTAATGACTTTCCTGTAACTTCTTTAGCAGTGTTTAAATAGAGTTGGTAGTAGACGATGGCATTTCCGGAATCTCTCAGATCGGAGTGGACGGACCCGAGTTCAGCGTACGCCTCTAATTCCTGACTTCTGTCACCAGTTTGTTTAGAGCTTGTTAAGTGGATTTGATAGTACTCTTTGGCCTTGATAAAATTTTTAAGTTTCTGGTGCGCGTTTCCAAGACAAGAATATTGCCTTTGTTCTGCGGCCTTGTCTCCAAGCTCTTTAGCAATGTTCAGACAGTGTTCGTGATAGTCTATGGCTCTTTGGATATCACTAACTCTCTGACGGTCATTCTCAATGAATCTATATGCGCCTTTTTCTCCGGCATTGTCTATGATTTCGTTGGTTGTCTTAAGGCAACTTTCAAGGTAGTTTTTTGCCTTGTCGAAATCACCAAAACTTCGCCAAGCATTTCCGAGATGAAAAAATCCGCGTCCTTCTTCAAACCTGTCACCTACTTCCTTGAAAATGCTCACAATGGCTGCTTCATAATCTCCAAGACATTGATAGTCTTCGCCAAGGCAGCCACAAACATATCCCTCCGCATGCCGACTGAGTCCGAGGTTCTTAACAACTTTCAAAACAAAATTGTGGTATTCTATGGCCTTCTTAGGATCCCCGAGGCTGCAATGAACTTCCCCAAGATCTTTATAAGCGATCACTTCACTTGCCCAGTCCCCCACCTCCTTGGCAATTCGAAGACTCTGGTCGTGGTAATCTAGAGCCTTTTGGAAATTTTTGAGGTTGTAATAATTTCTTCCAAGAGCTTCATAGATGAGTCCCTGCTTCCTTTTATCTCCTTCTTCCAAGGCATTTCTGAGCTCTTGGTAACAGCGCTCGATGGTCGTGGCAACCAAGTCACAAGGGCCATTTTCTTTCAGCTCCAGACTGCACGCGCTGTTTATAGGCATAGTAGGAGGGTTTTTTATTTTCTATATGCGAAAAGAAAACAAATAAGCCAAAAAGACACTTGTAAAATATACGAGTCTAAGCTTCTTATTTGGAAGCAATACAGTTTTTGTACAACCTGAGAAAACTGCTGACATTTGGACCCTATGCCAGCCCTGGTTTCCCCGAGAAATGACGTCTGAGAAATGACTGCAGAAATTCCATACTGATGACGTGTCACCAACTCAGATCTGGGAACCGTAAATGACCTAATAAACGCCCACTTCCAAATAAACGCCTCACCGTAATTTTTAGGGAGTTATTATACCTCCAAAAATGGAGTAAAAATTTTAGGTACATGATAAACCCATTTTTGGGGTTATTTTAACTCCTAATTTAACTCCGAATTTGGGGTCATTTTTACTTCTGAAAAAGAGTTCTTTTTACTCCCAGTCTGGAGTGAAAAATTACTCCGAAATGGGGTTACTTGTACTCCTTACATGGGTTGTTTTTACTCTTTTTAGAGTTAATTTAACTCTGAAAGTGGAGTAAAAATTTTAGGTACAGGATAACTCCTTTTTTGGGGGTTATTTTAACTCCTCAATATCTGGGGTCACTTTTACTCCTGAAAAAGAGTTCTTTAAACTCCTTTTTGGAGTTAAAATAACTCCACGAAAAATAACTCCACTGTCAGGAGTTAAATTAGCCCCACTAGAGGAGTTATTATAACTCCCTGAAAATTACAGTGCTCTTATCTAATCAGCGTCCTCTTTACGCTGTTAAAAATGTCTCTCTAATAACGCTCCCTAGGAGAATTACTCCAAATATGTGCTAGGAACTAGCAAAAGGGAGCAAAATCACTCAATTCATTCCGTTTATTGTTTGATTAACAAGGCTTTGCGTATTTCATCTTGTCCAGTATCAAGTTCAAAGTAGGAATAGACTCACAATGGCAACACAATAACCCTGAGCTAGCATTCTGGCATCGATGCTGGGGTTTGGAAGAGCGACTTAAAATTTTCGCAGAAGGCATATTAGATTTATTGAGCTTATCACAGTTATGAGAATAAACGCGTCTCTCTTTTAAACGCCTCCTATCTATTAAACACCCCCTCTTGGACCCCTCAAATTGAATAGATGCCCGGGGCGTTCATTAGGTCATTTAAGGTAGTGCTTATTAGTTGGTTAACAAGGACGGATCCAAGAATTTTGGACTGGGGGGTCCAGACTTTGGTTCAGAAAGGACTGTTGAACTTTTTTTGTCAAATTACTTCTCACAGAGATGACCACATGTTTCTCAATCTTTGAACGCCGGTCGCCAGTGGCGAGGGAAACACTGCTTTGCAGCAGAGACAAAGAGAGCATGGAAGGGTATTACATTTTTGAATATTCTTGGAATTTAGTTCAGTGGCAAAATGCAACACGCGTTTCATTAAAACAAGGAGCAAGTTAAAAAGTGGTGTATTATCCTGTCTCGAACAAGGGTAAGGTCGGACCCCCTGGACCCTCCCCCTGGATCCGCCACTGTTTGACACAACTTCCCATCATGCAACATGGCCAATCAGAAGCACTACCCAG